ACAGGCTGATCTTGTCTGCGAGTAGCAGAGCGTTCAAAGAGCACGGAAATTATGGCAAGCATTTAAAATAACTCTTGGCTGAAGAATTCATCTTTGCTGCGATGCGCAGCTGAGCTCTGCCTTTCATCCACTGCCTCACAAAAGGAAAGCAGGGTTCAATCCGGATCAAGCTATCTCCCCTCAGTGCACTCGTAACCCTTCCTCGAGATCTTATTACCGGGCGAGGACGTGTTAGGGACATCAATAGACAGACTGGTAAAATGGGGCAGACACGTGGCAGATGAGGTTTAATGTGGAGAAATGCAAAGTGATGCATTTTGTGAGGAAGAATGAGGAGAGGCGATACAAGCTGAGCAGAGAAGGTTAAGAGGAGACTTAATAGACGTTTTCAAAATTACGAGGGGATTCGATAGGGCGAACAAGGGGAAATTATTTCCACTGGTGGATGGGTCAGTAACCCGAGGACACCGATTTAAAATAGTTGTTAAAAGAAACAGAGGTGAGGAGAAATATTTTCACGCAGTGAGTTCGAGTCTGGAACACATTGCCTGAAAGGGTGGCGGAAGCCAATTCGACAACAACTTTTAAGAGAGAAATAGATAATTATTTGGGGAGGACAAGTTGTAGGGGCTGTGGGGAGAGAGCGGGGGAGTGGGGTTGATTTGGACAACTCTTTTCAAAGAGCCAGCACAGATACGATGGGCCGAATGGCCTCCTTCTGTGCTGCGTAATTCCATGATTCTAAGAATAGCAATGCCAGTAATCGGCCACCTCATTTGTTTGCAGGAGTATCTGCAATGATACTCGCGGACTTGGAATCTCCATGTTTACATGGATGAGCTCCGTGATCTCTCGCTTCCACTCCATGGCTTTATTGACATGAATTTCTGGATTCATCCACACAGGATGGGATGGGTGTCAGGAAGATTTTTTTTTGGAGGGATTATTACCCCCAGAAAGTGATCCGCCAATTGACTAACAACCGGGTGCCTAGTTACCGTTAGGTAAACGGAAGTGTGTTGGAGCAAGGGAACTTGCCTATTTGATATAGCACTTTATCATGTCGTTGAGACATCTCATAAGGCTTCGCAAAATGCATTGTTAAGTGGATTGACTGTGTATTTTATGGGCGAAACGCGGCAGCTAATTGCACACAACAGTGTCCCACAAACAGTCGTGGAGTGAGTGATTGACCAAACGTGTTCTTTTTGTGCATTATCCCCGGAAAAGCGATCCACCAATCGACTAACAAGCGGGTTCTTACTTACTGCTAGATAACCAGAGCCATGTGGAGTAAGGAACCTCGGCGAAGGTTTCTCCCCACCTGGGAATCGAACCTTGGTCCTCTCGCTTGGGAGACGAGGGCGATAACCACTACACTACAAGAGTCCCCAAATCTCCAAATCATAAGCCAGAGGAAGCTCTAGTTCAATCAATCATATGATTCTCTCGGGATTGAAGTGGATCGTTTTTTTTAATTGATTGTATGCAGACCGAAAAAATAAAACATCACTACCTTCATTTGTATTGTGTGCTGAAGAGAACTCAGTGCTCGCTCTTTCAAAGCAATGCATAATGTCAGAACCATATGTTTCTTACAGAACAGATCTTTCTCAATAGACAGCGTAGGAACAGGTTAATAATAATTCATAATACTTCACAGTACTTCCACTTGATACAGTGCCTTTCATGTCAGGAGGACGTCTCAATCAGGATTTACTGTGGCGTGTAAATCAATCAGATTTACCGCCTACCAACCTGTGCGCTCCCTCCACTCAGCGGGCTGCAGCCTGCTTCACGTCCCCTGTCTTGCCCACTCCACCATTGGGGAGGGCAGGGAAAAAAAGCTTCACAAAGGGTTTGAAGGATATTGGATCCTCAGGCGAGAGACTGTCACAGGTCAAAATAATCAACGCACTTTGACGCACGAGTATGAAAGGTAATAGAGAAAAGCATACAATAAAGGCAGGAAGGGCAGACACTGAGTAAAGGATCTTTCACAGAACAGGGATGACAAACAGAAGCAACGTGATGGAATATATGGGGTAAAGCAGCAAAAATTTAGAACCGTAGCAAAGCAGCGTCCAAATTATTTCAAGACAGTGGTTCTTAATTCGGGTCTTCTTGTTAATCAAATCTTCATCATTTTGCAAAGCCGAGACATGATAGCATTAAAGCTGGTCATGGAATCATAGAATTAATCAGCCCAGAAAGAGGCCAGTCAGCCCATCGTGTCTGTGTCGGCCCTTTGAAAAGAGCAGCACGTATATCTGCCACGACAGAATTCACACACAAGAATTCACCCATCCCTCTCTAAAAAAAAGAATAAATAGCTTTGGAACTCCATTCAAGATCCGTCTCAACCCTCCTCTTCGACCGCATGTTTGGTCACCCTCCTACTCCTACCCTCCGTTCCCGCCACCACTCCTTGGGTCCAAATCCCTGACTGTCCAGCGCCTTGGGACGTCCTCTCAACGTGAAAGGCGCTACACAATTATAATTTGTTGTTGCCATGGGCTTACTAGGTACTATGTGAAATTTCAAGTCCACGAATGGTGAGAACAGAGATGCTCATTGATGCTGAAGGGGGGGGGGAAGACTTGATAGAGAGAGAGAGAGAGTGGACAATTCAGGGGTGAAATAGAAAAAGACAGAGAGAAATTACATCAAGAACCATCAAAGATAATGATCTGGTGATATTGAGTCAGATTAAGCAGCATTATGACAAAGAGGCTACGGGAGAGGATATTAAACTGGGAAAGCTAGAGTGAAACTGGAAGATTATTAATTAGGTTTCCATTCTTGGCCTCGCAAAGATGAATACAGAAATGGTATCATGGCATTTGAAATATCAGGGTGCGAATTATTTATATATAATGATAATCTTCACATTTGGTGTAGTGCTTTATCCGATTTTTGAGATGTCTCAAAGCGCTACAGAATATTCTGTAAAGCGAATTGACTGTATTTTGTAGGCGAATTGCAATGTGGGGACATGTTAATCAACATATGCGTTGAAAATCGCAACTGTCTGATAATTAACACATCGACTGCTGTCCAGAACTTGCTGAAGGCAAAAAGAACAAAGTTAATGAAACCGGTTTCTGATTAACCGGTTGCCACTACCTAACACCAGCCGGAAATCCAATGTCCAACCCCTGGGGAAGATAATAAGAGGATTTTCAGCCCAGATCAATACTTTAGTGTGTATGAAGACAGCAGAACAAGAGGACACGGGTTTAGAGTTGTAAAGGGAAATTTCGGGGCAGACATCAGGAAATTTTTCTTTACGCAGAGGTTAATTAACAACTGGAAAAGGGTTGACCGGAAAAGTGGTTGAGGCCAAGACACTGGGACTCATTTAGTAAGCAGCTTGATGCTGTCATGAGGGGATGTTAGGGTGGGCGTTCTAGAGGGATGAGATCGGATGGGATGAGGATCCTTCTTCATCTAGACCAACCTGTGATCTTATGGCAGGGGGGTGGGCAGGGCAGAGGTGGGGGGACTGCCTTCAGGACAACAAGGACCAGTGGATGTGTTAATTACTGTTGGGTCTCCAATTTCAAATGAGCACCTCGCAATTTTCACCCCAACGTGTGACTCAGATGTAATAAAGAAAAGATTGTGTTTGATTTGAATGTAAAGCGAAGCGTACATCAATCTGACGAATGTTTTTTTCCCCACCAGTTACGTCGAGACGAGTCACAGCTCTGAGCATTAATAATAATATGTAGAATTTATTGTTAAAATACCACTGTTCCCCGATTGCATTTCACAAACAGCAGGTGGAAGATAATTAAATTTAACTGGAAATCTTAATCACTCTGGACTCAACCCTAAGATCTCGTAAATTTATTTGATGTAGATAATAAATGCTGAGCATCAATATATTAGTGAACAGCATTGGCTCAATAACTCAGGCAGACCAGAGGTTTGTAGGAGTTAAGACAAGTTGGCCGTTTCCCAGGACGTTTCGTTTAATCAGTGTGCACCAATCTAACATTACTGTAATGCCCTCCACGACCTTGTTCCTCCCCACAACAATAATAATAATCCTTGCATTTTATCACATTTTCGAGATGTCTCAAAGCGCTTCACAGAATATACTGTAAAGTGAATTGACTGTATATTTTGTGGGCAAAATGCAATTGAGCACAGCAGTGCCCCACAAACAGTCGGGGTTTAAAGTGACCAAATTATTTTTTTTTAAGGGGTTATTACCCCCGGAAAAGCGATCCGCCAATTGACTAACAACCGGGTTCCTAAATTACTGCTAGGTAAGCAGAGGCGTGTGGAGTAAGGAAACTTGCCAAACGTTTCGCCGTGCCCGGGAATCAAACCCATGTCCTCTCCCTTGTGAGGCAAGTGCTCTAATCACTAAGCTACCGGACTCCTCTGTGACCTGTTAATTCCATACCAACCTATCTGCTCCCTCCTCTCAGTGGACTGCTCCACGTCCCCCGCCCCACCCGCTTACCCATTGGCGCTCGAGCCTTCAGCCTTCTGGAACTCCATCCCAAAGTCCCTCCGCCTTGCCCCCTCCCTTGCCTCCTTCAATGGCCATCTTCAGTCAACTTACTACGCTTACCTTCCCCCACTCCGCATCCCAGCCCCCAGCTCGGGTGCAAATCTGTCCAGCGCTTTGGGACATCCTCCCAACGTGAAAGGCACTGTACGAATGTAATTTGTTGTTCGTGCATTTGATGCAGCGCCTTTCAGTTCAGGATGACTTCTCAAAGCGCCTCATGGGATTCGTTATAAAGTGTAGTGACAGTGTAGGTGAGGTTTGAGGCATGAGCCTTTTCAGAAAACGTAGCAAGGTTCAAATCTTGGATGGATTTTTTTAAAAAATCGGAGGATTTTTTTAAGTAAATTATTTTAACCCACAAAACACACTATTTATCTACTCTTTACCGTGTATCCTGTGAAGCACTGTGAGACGTCCTCCCAAAGTATGTACAATATAAGAATTTTTATTGTAAAACGTCACTAATCTGGCGAAGAATTAAGCAGAGCATTAAGCCTTTGCTGCCTTGATAGTCCATCCAAGCAGCACTTCTCTGGCGAAGAGTTTGACCATTATAATAATCATTGCTTCTCTCCCACAGCAGATATGTCCTGTGCCCAGCCTGAGGTTGCTGCTTGACAGGGTTTTGATGTCTCCAGCAGTAGTGGGAGGACAGCTTGGATCAGCCGGTCATTGTGAGGTGCGTACAGTGATATACGCCAATCTGTCAGAAAGTCTTCATTCTCTGAGCAATGTATGCAATAAGTACTCTGTAGAGCAAACACACAATAAACAGCTGACTAACGCACTCTCCCTAAGACTGTACACAATATTCACTTTGCAGGCAGGCTCCAGCCAATCTCTGGACCAAATCAGCACCCAGTTTCCTGGAACGAATAACCACATTGGATGGTTTGTGCTTTCCGAGGGCAACCTTACTATTAGGGACTTTGTCTTACAGATTAAGGGCTGCCTCACCTGTGCCTCTAAGGTCCACTTTGCATTTGCTATGGACATCTAACAATACTGGCCTACGATCCTCCAGAATGAATTGGTGATTCGTTTAAAATTGTGCTGGGGTAGCTCACAATAAACTACATCATGGAGCCATTCAGACCTGGTGTTCAATAGATTACTGTAGCAATGATTGTACTTCCCTGCCTTGCTCTCTCCATTGCAGGCAAGAGCTGCCCATTGAAAAGGTTACTTGTCTGTCCACCATGGAAGGAAGCCTAGTGGATTATCACATCAGTGGTGAGTAGTGAGGAGCCTACAGTGGTTCCTAAGTAAGCCATCCAGCTCCGTGTTCACATTGCGTTCTTCGTTTGGACTGTAAGGAGTCTGTCCTGACCTACCCCACACCTGCACTCCTTTACAAGGTGACATACATGGAAGAACAGTGTGGGACACAGACACCGGGAATTGGTTCTTTGCAGGAAAGGGCAGTCAACGGCTGGAACAAATTACTAGGAAAGACAATAGAAGCCATTGGACTCACTTAATAACCAAAAGGCAAAGTACTGCAGATGCTGGAAATCTGGTATACGCACAGAAGTCGCTGGGAACACACAGCAGGTCAGGCAGCATCCATGAAGAGAGGAAAATGAGTTAACGTTTTGGGTATATGACGATGTTTTGATACACTTTCACCCAAAGCTTTCTTTGTGAGGAAGTAGGCGAGAAGCAGGGTTTAGCTGGGAGAAGCAGTGAAAATGTGTGTGATCCGTTGCGGCTTGCAACGCTGTAGAGTAAAGACAAAGGAAATATGAAGATGTTTAACGGTGCCCCCGTGGGCACATCTAGAGCTCTCCAGCACGGCCTCAGGTCCCAGACAGAGGGAAGGGAACGAGAGTCGGCAGGATGAAGGTTTCCTTGTTGCACGTGTAAATAAACCATCTTTATTTGCACACACAGCCAAAGGGGAATGAGATTGTTGGACGACAACATAAAAATTGTTTGCATATCCATTACTGCCGATTGCAAGCAGTTTGGTGCCCAAACCGTCCGTCAATGCAGCAAAAAGCTCTTAAGAAACAAGCTGCTTTGGCTCACAGAGCTAAACAACGAAAACGCTGATGCGTATGATGCGACTTTAAGAAGCAAGCGAGTCTCTAAAGTCAATAGCATCTCGAGCAGAGACATCTCACGAGTCCCACGGGGAATGATAACCCATTTTGCTGATAGTCAGGCGGTGCAGTAGAAAGGCTCAATAACTAATGGCTCTAGGGCAAGTGGGGCAAAGGGTTCCCATTCTGCCAAAAGCCTTGCTTTGTGGAGGGGGTGGGGGGAAGGGGGGAGGTGTGGTGGGGAGGGGGGGGAGGAGGGGGAAGAGGAGGTGAGGAGAAATAAAAGATGCACGGATGAGATTTGGAAATATCCAAAAAATAACTAATGCCAAACTATTTATAACCGAAGCATAGAAAGCATCAGTAAAAATATTGGGCTTGAAATAGCCTCTGGCTTAAGCAAAGACTGGGGAGCGTGCAACCTTATGGGGAAGGTAATTAATGAGGCGCTGTCACCTTCTCCGTAGCCCGCATTCACCCCACAGAGACGACTGTGATCTCTTTATTTCAAAATCCAGCAACTTCTGTATCCAGAAAATCCAGCAACTTGTGTTTGGTGGGGGCGGGGGGAGGGGGGGGGGAAAGAAGAGATGATTTTAAGATGAGCTGTGAAATTGATAATACAATTTGTCCGCCTTCCCCTTCGAAAACACACGGTCACTACACTTTGCAGTGAATCCTGTGAAGCACTTTGAGGCATCTTCCTGACGTCAAATGCGCTGTAACAAACTCAAGGATTATTAATAGTTCATCACTATTATTATTATTGTCACCTTACAGTCATCAGAAGCCCACCTGCCTGGGAGATCGGAATCTATGGAACTGGAGTCCTCGTTATTCTGGCTCTAGTTGGAGTAAATCTATGGAAACTCTGGAAATCTGGGAACTATCCTGCCCCCTCGCCTTTTCCGAACTACGACTACAGATACCTTGAGCAGAAATATGGGACCTCGTACTCCGAGGTCAGGCAAAAGGTAAGGTTCATTCAAACTCTGCTTGTGTCACTGGGCTGTACAAGTGTCGCAAAGGTTACTGATGATTATTCCCTGCAGGAGTCACTCTTTCGCTGAACGCAATACAAATGTACATTTACACAGCGCCTTTCACGTCAGGAGCACGTCCCAAGGTGCTTGACAGTCCCGGTTTGGCATTGGAGTTGGAGGTGCTGGCCGAAGGGGATGGGAAGGGAAAGATGACCGAAGGGATGATCACAGAGGAGGGTCCAGGGAAGGCGAGGGAATCGAGGACACCAGCTGCCATAAGCCAAGGAGTCCCGAGGAAAGCCTTGATGATGGCCATGAGAGCTGGCTTCTCTCCTAGCTNAAAAAAAAGCTAGCCAACAGTCCCCCAAATCAAATTTGTCACTGACTCCGTGGCTGTTTGTGGGACACTGCCGTGCAAAAATTGTGCTGCTCCATTTGCCTACAAATACACAGTCACTCCACTTTACAGTAAATCCTGTGAAGCACTTTGATGTGAAGCGCATTCGATGTGACAAGGGGCCATACCAAATGTAAGGATTATTATCATTAAATTTAGCAAAACATCATAATGATACGGTTGGCCTTGCGCACAATTATTCAATTTCATTCTCCCTCTCTCCAACCTCCCCCCCCTCCACCACCCCCCACCCCGCTCTCGTAGAGAACAGCTTCAAGTTATAAAAAGAACACAGAGAAGGGCTTTCTCAGCCATCAGTCCAGCCTGAAGATAGACGAGACATTTGAGAACATCAACGAGCTTGGCACTCTGCAGTTGATGACTAAAGACGTTGACACGCACCATTACGGGCCCATGAAAAAGTCTGTGTCTTCTGACTCGCTCAACTCCATCTCTTCCATTGGTAACAACTTTGGTCAGGACTTCACCGTGGGCCAGATTGAGATGTGCCTTGAGTACAACATGAACTCAAACACCTTGCACGTCACCCTGGTGCAAGGCAAGGACCTGCTGGAGAAAGAGGACGGCAACTTTGAGTCTTGCTTCGTGAGGATCAGTTTGCTGCCGGATGAGCAAATCGTTGGGATTTCCCGAGTAAGTCACATGAACGTTTTCACATTTGACCACCACACACACACACGCACATACATTCACACACACACAGTCATAGAGACAGCAGACAGAGCACTGCCCGTAAAGAACTTTGGCTCGCAAGCGCAAAGAGCCATCAGGGTATGCCTACATACGTGAAGCTCTCAAGTCAGCCTGGTTCAGTCGTTTGCAGACTCGCCACCAAGCCAGAAGGTTGTGGGTTCAAGTACCCACGTCAGGGTCTATGAGTTCACAGTCTAAGGCTTCAAATGGTTTCAATCTCCACGTTGGGGTCTTTAAGATGAGACGTTAAACCGAGGCCCACCTACCCTGATGAACGTTACAACTCAAAAACATATTCAAAAAGAGAAGGGAGTTTCTCTCTCATGGTGTCCTGGTAACAACAATCCCCCAAATAAAATGGGTCACTCACTCCCTGGCCGTTGTAGGACATCTATCCTGCCACATTTTGCCCAGAAAATACCCAGTCACACCACTTTACTGTGTATCCTTTGAGGCGTTTTTGAGACATGATAAGGTGCCTCGCAGATAATATTTCGGAATAGTTGGTTCCATAAAGGGGCTATATCAAATACAAGGATTATTATTATTATTATTATTAAGGGAATCATTGAAGCATTAGGCTTGTAGGAGGTATTCATTGATCCAGTTTGATACTGCAGTGCTACCCAAACCTGACCTGCTCTATATGACTGAATGATAAAAAGCATTCCACTGAGGTTCGAGTGGAACAGTCAACAACAGCAACAATTTACATTTATATAGCTCCCCTCACGTAGGGTAGCGTCCCAGAGCGCTTGACAGTGGCGGAGCCCGTCACCGAGGCGGTGGGGGTGGGGGAGGTGACCACAGGCATGATCGAAGAGGAAGGTCTTCAGGCTCGATCTGAAGATGAGAAAGGAAGGGGCAAGAAGGAGAGGGATAGAAGAAGTTTCCTGAGTTTTGTGGCGCAATGGCTGAAAGAGCAGTCATCAGCACCTCTCTCACTCTCTCTCTATCTCTCTCTGTATATATATCTATATATGTCCGTCTCTGGTTTTCGCTCTGTCTATGTACCTTTTGCTCTCTCTCTCTCTTGCTCTCTCTGTAATGAGAATACAGAGAAGTACTGCGATTACTACACTATTGAGAGCTAAGCTGCAAGTATATTGCACGTGCAAAGCACAGAAAATATTCCGCCCGTCACAAATTGGCTTATTTCTGCTCTGTGTCGTATTCCCGGGTCAGACCTGCTGTTGCCCCTGACAGCCGAGGAGATGGAAGCCATCAGTGACTGTTTCCGCACAGTCGCTGACTTGTGCTGTTCACTCGTTAGTGAGATCTGCGGCACAAGGGAAAAAAAACAGGCCAAAGGTTGGCTGTATTCCTGTGTGAACGGCATAACTAGATGCAATGCACGGGTGATAATTAATGAGATGTTGCAGAAAAAGAGGCAATTTGGGTAAATTCATTTTGAAGTTGCTTTACACTAAACCTACTCTATACTCTGGTTGGGGGCTCTGTTCTGTGTCACAAATTCAGGATTTTATTTTATTTTGGGGCAGGGATATTGTACACCAGACAGTCTCTAATACTATGTTTGGCAGGATAATAAAAGAAACTATACCCTCATTGCAGAACTCTGCTTAAGGAGTGCAATATAATAGTCTCACTTGGGGTAGAGAGCTCCAGTGGGGGAGCGAGCACCAGCACAGACACGATGGGGTGAGAGCAGGGAATGGGGTTAGAGTAGAGAGATCCACTGGGGGAGCGAGCACCAGCACAGTTGGGGAGAGAGCAGGGTAATGGGATTAGAGTAGAGCGATCCACTGGGGGAGTAAGCAGTGGCATAGATGCGATAGGGCAAAGGGCAGGGTAGATGCTCTTAGAATAGAGAGCTCCAGTGGGGGAGCGATGAGCGGCAGATGAGATTGAGAGACTGCAAAAAATGGGATTAGAGTAGAGAGCACCAGTGGAGAAGGAACAGAAAGTACTGATGTTAATGCAGGAGTCATTTTTCTCCACTGCCTCAAGCCAAACACACTTACCGAGTTGAAAGGCAAAGACATTGTTTGTAAGGACACAGTTTGAAAATCACAAGCTGACCAGCAATCCAACATGTTCAACTTCCGTGTCACTTGTTACTTAGCTCACCACTTGTGCTGCGGGCAAACTGTGATAATGAACACAGGAGCACATGTAGGACTGAACGCCTAATAATAATCCCTCCAAAACCAAAAACAATAATAAATTGGTCATTTTCAATCTACGTGCGCAATTGGCTGCCGCGTTTGCCCACAAATATACAGTCAATTCACTTTACAGTGTGTTCTGTGAAGCGCTTTGGGACGTCCTCCCGACGTGAAAAGCGCTATATCAAATGCAAGGATTATTATTATTATTATAACTGCAGAGATTCCCAAAACAGTCATTACACTGAATGGTAATTACTGTGAAGCACTTTGAGATGTTTTGAAGCGATAAAGGCGCTGCATCAAGTGCAAGGATTATCATTAATATTATATAAATTTGCAGCATGAGATCAGCAAATCTACTGTCGAGAGAAGAATTGGAAGGAATCACTCGCCAAAGTCAGTATTGCAGAGAAGTCATTCCTACGGTTAGGTAGTCAAGGGAGCCAGAGAGGGAAGAGAATGGGTACCAATGATTACTTATGCAGCTAGCTGGAGAGTGGAAAAGGGAACAGAGGAATCTGTGAGATTGAAATGATAATAAATTGGCTAATCAATCCACGACTGTTTGTGGGACATTGCTGTGCGCAATTGACTGCCGCGTTTCGCCCACAAAATATACAGTCAATTCACTTTTCAGTATATTCTGTGAAGCTTTGAGCCGTCTCAGAGACGTGATAAGGGACTGTATCAAATGCAAGAATTATTATTATCACTGAAGTCAAATGGTTGCAAAGTTTTCCAAACCTCTTTGGGTGAATTAGGGGCAGAGGCAGAGCAACGCTGGAGTAGCCGCTCCAGGAATCATTCGACGAGCTTTCTCTCTCGTGCAGATTCAGAGGAACGCGTTCTCCGTCTTCTTCGACGAGCGGTTCTCCATCCCCCTGGACCCCTCGGCTCTCGAGGACAACAGCCTGAGGTTCTCCGTCTTCGGAATAGACGAGGACGACCGGAACATCAGCACCGGCTTGGCGGACCTGAAACTGTCAGACCTGGATCTGAGCTGCAGACCCTTCAACGCCTGGCTCTACCTGCAAGACGTCAATAAGGTGAGAGATGTCACATGGGGAGAGATGGGTGCAAGGGTGGGTGGTGGGGGTGGGATGACAGACCAGACACGCTTTCCGTGCAGCAACAACAACAAAATGACATTTATAGAGCGCCTTTCACGTCAGGTGGACGTCCCAAAGCGCTGAACAGTCAAGTGACGGGGCCCGAGCATGGGAGAGGGGTGGAGTAGGGGTGAGGGAAGGCAGAGAGGTGGGAAGTAGACCAAGGGCATGATCGAAGACAAGGGTCTTAAGACCGGCCTTGAAGGATGCGAGGGAAGAAGTGAGGCAAAGGGACCGTGGGATGGGGTTCCAGAGTGTGGGGGTAAAGAGGCTGAAAGCAGCAGACATGGAGCAGGCCGGAGTCTGCTGAATGGAGGGAGCTGGAAGGTTGGTAGGGAGTCAGCAGGTCAGAGAGGTAGGAGGGGGCAAGGCCATGGATGGCCTTAAAGGTGAGGACGAGGATCTTGAACTCGATCCTCTGGGGGATGGGGAGCCAGTGGAGTTGTGCGAGGGTGGGAGTGATGGGGTCACGGAGCCTGGTGCGTGAGAGTACACGAGCTGCAGAGTTTTGGATGATCTGCAGCTTGTGAAGGGAAGAGTTGGGAAGGCCGATGAGGAGGGAGTTCCCGTAATCAAGCCTTGAGGTAACGAATGCGTGGGTGAGGGTTTGGGCAGCCTGAGGGGTGAGGCAGTGGTGGAGTCTGGCAATGTTGCGGAGGTGGTGGTAGGCAGTGCCGGTCATGGCGCGGACATGGGGGAGAAAGGACAGTTCAGGGTCAAACAAGACCCCAGGTTCCTGACTGGCTTAGTGAGGTCAAGTGTGCAGCCATGAAGGCCGATGCAGCCAGCGCCCGAGGTGCGTAGGCGCTGGCGCGAGCCAATCAGGAGGACCTCGGTCTTGCTGACGTTGAGTTGGAGAAAGTTGGTCCTCGTCCAGGACTTGATATCGGACAGGCAGTCGGTCAGGACACCAGTTGTCCTGGAGTTCAGGGTGGAGGCAGAGAGGTAGAGTTGGGTGTCATCTGCATACATGTGGAAATTTACCCCATGTCTGCGGATGGCATCACCAAGGCGCAGGGTATCAGCCAGTCTACAACAGCAATTCTTGCATTTTGATACAGCGCCTGATCATTTCTTCGAGTCAACGGGTTTCGCAGAATGTACCATAAAGTGAATTAACTATATTTTGTGGGCGAACCAGTCGACAGCGCAAACTGCATGTTTCCAGGTACCTCAGTCTACACGTTATATATTATTATTATATCTAAATTTTATACATTATATTATTGTAACTCACGTTTTAAACCCTTCCATAATAATGATAATAATAACAATTTGGTCACTCAATCCACGACTGTTTGTGGGACGCTGCTGCGCGCAATTGGCTGCCGCAATTTGCCCTCAAAATATACAGTCAGTTCACTTTACAGTATATTCTGTGAAGTGCTTTGCGACGTCTCGAAGATGTGATAAAGCGCTGTATCAAATGCAAGGATTATTATTATATTATAAACAGACTCATGCATTCAAGATTGGTAAAAATGGGAGAAGGGAAGGGGGAGATGTCCCCCTATAGTTATGGATATACAGATATCGTTATGTGATAGAGAGACCAATGGCTACAAAGATGGATTATAAATACAACTGTATTTTACAGTCGTGAGCAAGACAGATGTATAAATGTACGAAAGAGTGTGAGTGGGAATTACGACCACCATCAACTTCAGGAGACGCGTATAACCGTAGCTCAGTGACAGACGCAATAAACGTTTGGAACAAGGAACAGGCACTAAATAGACGTTAAACCGAGGCTCCGCTTGCCTGTTTTGGTGGGCGTTAAAGATCCTACGACTCTACGCAATGAGAAGGGAGTTTCTCTCTCCCGGTGTCATGGCCAACAATCCACCAAATAAAATTGATCGTTCAATTCATGTGGGGACAAACTGCCACATTTGTCTACAACAGTCACTACATTTTTCAATAAGTGCTTTGGGGGGGGGTCCTCCTGACATCAAAGGTGCTGTAACAAATGTACGGATTATTATTATTATTTGTGTGATCCACTGATCTTTTATACAGTATATAGTTTGGGACATGACATGTGCATGGGATGTGGGAAGGTGAACTGGATGAACCTTGGTCTGCTTAGATCTAGCAATTATGTTTACGGGAAGAATTGAGGCTGATTTTGTGTGTACAGGCAAAGGACACAGTGGGGGAGGTCCTGTTGTCACTCAGTTACCTGCCAACAGCAGAGAGGCTGACAGTGGTGGTGGTCAAAGCCAAGAACTTGATGTGGACCAATGGAAAGACCACATCTGGTGAGTTGATATGATTTTGAATCTTCTCAACGCTGTCAGTCGTCGAAATGCCCCAGAGAATGTCCGTGTTCTGGTAGTACAGCGTCAGTCAGCCAGGCTCAGAGGGCAGCGCTCTCGCCTCCGATTCAGAAGGTAGAGAATAATAATTTGGTCACCCGCTCCATGACTGTTTGTGGAACATCGAGGTGCACAACTGGATGCTGCATTTCACCCACAAAATACACTTTGCAATACATTCTGTGAAGCGCCTTGAGACATCTCAATGACGTGATAAAGCGCTATATCAAATGCAAGGATTATTATTATAGTAGGTTCAAGCCCCAATGTCAGGACCTTGTCCTCACAGTCCAGTGCAGTGCTGGTGGGGAGCCACATTGACCTTCAGACGAGACATTAAATCGAGATCTCCGTCTGTGCCTGTTCAGGTGGACGTTATAGACCACTGGCGCTATTCAAAAAGAGAAGGGAGTTTCTCCCAGTGCCCCAGCCAACAACCTCCCAGAGAAAATTTATCATTCACTTCATGGCTGATTGCGGGATGTTGCCATGTGCGAATTGTTGCCGCTTTCGCCTACAAACACACTGCACTTAACAGTTAAATCCCGTGAAGCGCTGTGAGACATCTCAACGACGGCATCAAATCCAAGGATTATCATCAACAGACACATTAAGAACAGAGGAGCTGTAGAATAAGGCATTGATTCAGGAGGATCTGATACCCACTGACATCTTTTAACAGATTTCCAGGACGTGAATATTTTCTAATTATAAGTATTATGAGTCAAAAATTCAGTAACGCTGCACTTTGTTAATGTTTAATGTAAGCTGCTGCTTCTAATGACTGGTTGGGTATGGATTACAAAAGAAGATTTTTCTTTCATAAAGAAATTGGAAACAGTAACAGACATAGATAACTGGGTTTGCTGGCCAGATGATTTTTCAAATCTAATTTGGATTATTGCAGACAAAATGAAAGATCGAGGAAACTAATAAAAAGTTAATTCTCGAGATAGACTGCATTCTTCCGTCGCGGCGATATTGAGTAATTGAACACACAGTTTTATAATACAATAAAAAAATAATCTAATGAAATAAAAATGCACAGTGCTTCAGGGATGTTGCTGTGAGGTTTGATTTTTACATTAATGACTCTCTTTCCTGGCCCCAAAAAGATCCGTTCGTCAAAGTTTATCTTCTTCAAGACACAAGGAAAATAAGCAAGAAGAAGACAGGAGTGAAGAGAGATGATCCCAACCCGGTCTACAATGAAGCCATGATCTTCCCAGTCCCAGCCATTGTCCTGCAGGTAACCTGCCAGTCACTCACCTCGCCTTAACATTAAACAACAACAACATTGGATTAGATTTGTATAGCGCCTTTCGCATGGGGAGGGTGTCCCAAGGCGCTGCTAAACCAACGCGAGCAATCCGTGACACGACAAGCTATCGGCAACGGCTTAAGCTGCGACGTTTCTTAATAAGGAATCCGAGTTGCGCGAGCGGGTCAGAAGGTTGCGGGTTCAAGCCCCACGTCCGGACTTTCAACTCACAGTCTAGACTGACGCTCCAGTGCAGTGTGTGTGTGTGTGTGTGTGATTGTCGGAAGCGCTGACCCTCGGATCAGATGTTAAAACAGGGTCCCGTCTGCCTATTAAGGCGGACGTTAAAGATCCCGCATCACTAGTCGAAAAAAGAAAGGAGTTTTTCCTCCCTATGTCCTGACCAACAGTCAATCAATGACCTGTCAGACATTTCCATGTTCCAGGCGCACGACCCAATGCAAGGATTGTTATTATTAATACCAAACATCCTGACGCTTGCTCTCCCCGTGAACACAGGAGCTGTCGCTGAGAATAACAGTGGCTGAGAGCTGTGAGGACGGCAGGACCGAGAACATCGGACACGTCATCATCGGCCCGGAGAGCGGTGGCTTGGGAGTCACCCACTGGAACCAGATGTTGGCGACGCTACGGAAACCCGTCTCCATGTGGCACGCGCTACGCAGGATTTAAAAGCCAGAGAAGACGCGCGGTGGGCCGCGCTCTTCGCACACGCGTGTAAATACTTTGCATGGTGACCACAATTCTCACACCTTATTAATGCCGCGTCTTTATCGGGGGGACGTGCGAATCTGCGGCTCCACCTTAAACCGTTTTTTAAGTAAGTCACACAGCGACCCGAGGGCGATAACGAAACAGGGTGGGCGATGGAAGCACCAGCTCGCCGGTGGCAAGGGGAGCGTTTCAATGTAACTTATAGCAAAAGAGTCCCCACACACTAAACCAACCGGCGTAACCCCACCGTGACTCACTCGGACATTAACCTAGGAATAAATCAACTTTTTTTTAAAAAAGAAATTGCACACGAAATATACACACGTGACACGGCACTACATAGAGCAGGGGTGCACATGAGGACTGACTCCACTTCACAAGGAGGGTGTCTAAAACAGGAAGCCTTGCAAACCAGTGAGAGAAGCATCCCACTTAACTAATTCCGGAAAGGTTTAGCGCAGGTTGGCGAGAGCCAAGGCTTGGGGGACTTGGAGCCCTTGATATCAACTACGCATGGAGCTCGTCGTGGCTATTAATTGGCCTGAAGCAATTTTATATTCTTATAAAATATAACAGAGATAGGATTTTCCAAACACCACCAGACAGAGGAAACAGGCATCCCCGAAACCCCAGTCCAGGATATCTTGAGGGTATTCTTTAAGCACAATGCACAAAGCACTCACTATCAAGAACTTGTGCGCCGTCGTAGCTCATCTTAGAGCTGGATATGAACGTGGATCCTACAAGCAGAAGCTCAGTGGTCTAACGCACTGTAGGGACCAATCCCTCAAGTCGGGGGGGGGGGGGGGGGGGGGTCCAATCTTTTGGCTGCTGAGGGTCAGATGCCCTATTTGAGAACTGTCCCCGATTTGATTAGGGTAATACTTTTGGGTGTCCCTTCCAGAAACATAACATTTACGGAGGGAGCCGGTGGGCCGAATGAAATGGAAGGGGGGTGCGGGCGGGGATAAAATCAGCCCACGGGCCACCAGTTGGACCACTCTGCTTAAGTAAAGCAATACTCTCAATATTTATTTTTATTTACTTATAATTGATGGCACTTCCAGCCGATGCCTAGCCTGAATCTTGTCTGGATAAGCTGCGAAAAGCTCTGTTAATAAGCTATATCGCAGCTCTGTTGTAAGCTGTGAAAAGCTTCCTTTCATCCTAAAACACATTTATTTTTCATGTATTTTATTCCCCCCGCCCCCACCCCACCTCTTCTGAGGAAAATAATTCTTACTCAACATCGAACAGCCACACGACCGATAAGCGACAATAAAATCGAATGCCAAATTTTCGTTCTTGCGAGCGAGAAAACATAAGATAACTGAAATGTATTAGCTCTTCATTTATGCATGCACATTCTTTACAGAGTTAGTGAAAACGCTACACAGTATATACATAGATATATATCACAATGAGTACTGAATATATTTGTTTCTTTTTGTGCAAACGTGATCAATAAATGCGGTGCGGATGTTTGTAAAGCATTCGAATGGTAGTCCACTGGTTGCCAATTACTCTGACTTGGTAGCCGTCTGTACGCATCAGACATTGCACTAGTCTCAAGGCCCATCTCAGTTGCGCCCGAAAGTTTGTTTTTGCGAGTGAAATGCAGCAGTCCGTGAAAAAAAGAGAAAGAAATAAAATAAGCTAGCGTTTAATACAATGGGATGGACGGACACAAGCCTTAGAGGTTAAGCGAAAATACGAGGCAACGAATTAAATGGGTTTACAGCCTTATGATACACATAGGAACAAGAGTAGGCCATTCAGCCCCTCGAGCCTGTTGTGCCACACCTCACGTTTTCAGCGCCTTGGGAAGTCCTCCCGACGTGAAAGGCGTTATGCAAATGTAATTTAGTTATTGTTGTTTACTTGCTGAGGTCTCAGTGTGGAAAAGCTACTCTCTAATGTATTTTCGAAGCAGCGTTTCTAAGTGTAGGAAGCTCCTAGATCCAACAGCCGGTGGTGGGGGTTGGGGAAGGTTCTGAAGAGTGAAAGTGGTCTTTGATATTTGAAACGTAAATCCCTGTAATTCAGTGATTATCTGCACTTCCCTTACAACAACAACCTGTCTTTATAACAGCACCCCTCAGGCAGGATAGCGTCCCAGAGCGCTCGACAGTGGCAGAGCACGACGCCAAGCCAGGGCGTGGGGGAGGTGTCCGTAGGCACGGTTGAAGAGGAAGGTCTTCAGGTGTGATCTGAAGATGGGGAAGGAAGGGGCAAGGCGGAGGGAGAGAGGAAGAGAGCGTTCCAGAGTTAAGACGGAGTTTGGTGGGTTGAAGCCAGACCCGAGCAGAGAAGGCATTGCCTTAAGATTCATTTCTCACTTTCATATTCTGAATCGCTAGATGCCGACCCCCTCCGTCTCCACCCCCTCGCCCAGCACACCCCCACACCCCCGTCCATTGCATGAAACTTGTACAAATGATCTGTAACATTTTCGTTGAATCACGAGTGAGTTTTCTTGCAAATAAAGCGAGTCTTCCAGAAGATGGTTGGAGAGTGGGTTATTTAGTGGGGGAAAAAAACATAGGTACAGGAAGAGGTCATTCAGACCATCGAGCCCGTTCTATTTTATTAGCAGATCTTTGAATCTCATTCCCTACCATTTCTCCATATCCCTTACTACCCTTACCTCCCAAATAATAATCCTTGTATCTGAGATAATGCCTTATAAGGTTGTCTCAAAACACTTCACAGAATATATTGTGAAATGAATTGACTATATTTTATGGGGGAAATGTGGCAGCCAATTGCGCACAGCAGTGTCCATGAACAGTCATGGGTTGAATGACCAAATTATTATTTTTTGAAGGGATCTTTACCCCCATAAAGCGATCCGACAACTGACTAACAACCAGGTTAGGTAAACAGAGGTGTCAGAAGTAAGGAAACTTGCCTAAGATTTCGTCCTCCCGGGAATTGAACTCGGGTTCTCTCGCTTGCGAGGCGAGTGCTCTAACTACTATTCTACAGGACTCCTCATGTTAACACTGTGCAGTTGTTACAACTAAAACTCAGTAGTGTATCGTTCAGTATTGTATTACTGCTTGATCAACGCATATTTTCTGTAGAATTTAAATGAGGAAAGTGTAGAACACTGCTATGAGCTAAGGAGCCCAGGAGAGAGAGTGTGGAACAACTAAATTCTTCCGCCTGGCAGAAGGTGTTGAAATTAAACATACAAAGAGAATTCCAGCTAATCTTACTTTGTACTTCTCAGAGCTTTTGACTCCTCTCCTGAAGGCCAAAGCAATCAGCTGCCATCTTCCACTTACTTAGCACAAACAGGTCATCAGCCTTTATTACTCCCAGACCAGTTTGTCTACATCTCCCCTGGCAATTATTGCCTTATCTCTGAACACAGAGATAAGATGATAAGATGATGATCAGAGGACTCGCTTTCAGCCACTCCGGCCCTGCTCTCTGGGACTCCAGCCTGGAGACCCTCCACCTCGCCCCTTTCCCTTCCCACCTTCTAAATCCACCTTAAGACCTACTTTATCCAACTGTACTTTACCACCCACCACTTGAGCTCCCAGTGTGAAGTGCACCGAGATATTGTCCCGACATAAAAGGCATTAAATAACTGCAAATTGTTATTGTAAATGTATTGATATAAATGCCATCTGTATTGTTACAGGATACTTGTCTGATGGTAGTTTTCTCACCAATAATATTCCTTGCATTTGATACGGCACCTTATCACGTCGTTGAGGCGTCTGAAAGGGCTTCACAGCATATAGTGTAAAGTGGATTGACTGTGTATTTTGTGGGCGATACGCAACAGCCAGTTGCGCACAGCAGTGCCCCACAAACAGTCATGTAATATGGCCAATTTTATTGGGGGACTGTTTGCGAATAATGCCATGGGATCTTTAACATGCACCTGAACATCTATTCCTGAGGCTACAGGTGTATAAAATTATTTGACACAACCCAACGTTGCCATCTGCTGGCAGAAATTAGACGAAATACAGAACCTGGGGCAGATAGATACAGTAACTCGATTTGGTATAGCACGTCTCATGTCGGGAGGCAGGCCATCGCAGAGCGATTCACAGGCTATCCTGTGTTTTTTATGGCCGAACGCAGCAGCCAATTCGTGCACAGCATTGTCCCGCAAACTGCCACAAAGTGAATGACCATTTCTATCTGGGGGATCGTCGGCTCGGAAACCAGGAGAAAATCTCTTCTCTTGTTTAGTAATGTCCACTTGACGGGAACTCAGTTTAATGTCTCATCTGAAGGAGTGCAACTCGGTCAATGCATCACTCGTCCATTGGAGTGTCAGCCCAGACTGTGCGAGTTCAGTGGGGCTTGAACCCACAACCTTTTGGTTCAGAGACAAAAGCGCTACCAACTGAGCCAGGCTGACAACCAACAAACATATGGCACCTTTGCTGGTGGCAATGGCTGCCCACCATTGCACTTTACCGCAGCTCTTACAATGGATTTTCACGTGTGTCAGACAGCCGGCTGATCACGGTGATTGGTTTCGTGTATCAGACACCTGGCTGACCAAAAAACAAGTCTCATTGAAGCTTATCACGATCATCCAGGAAATAAATAAGAAAGGCAAAAGCGCAAAGAGGAATCAGTAGTCAGCCAACAACAGATTGGTTGAGTGTATGAACTGATCGATGGCCGAGGTCGCTCCAATCTTTTTCATTTGTTTCCTGAAACACAACATGTCTAAATGGAACCCAACTCTGACGGTAAACTGCTGCTAACCTTCAGGTTTCCTGACAACAATGCTCAGCTGCACAGAACTGAAGGGACGGTGGAGAAGGGAGGGAGAGAGGGTACGTGGGGGGTGGGGGGGGAGAGGAAGAGAACACCGGGGCGTTTGGAGGCCCCGTTTGATAAGGAGGCAGCTACGATGCTCTTACCCACGGGGAGTAACATCCAACGACGAGCTGCAGAGATTACGATTAACAAACAAATGGTGCGTAAGAGGAGACGATTTTGAATGTGAAACTCGGTGGTATAAGGGACCTTTCAGTGCTGGGAGCTCGCATACAGGATCTCACTTTCTATGCAATTGGGAGTAACCAACATTCCCAATGACAAGATCACGGGTACAGATTAACAACGACCAAAGTTATTGCAACATCAATTGAAACGACTCAGCATCCCTTCTCCACTTTCAAAACCTAAATAAAATGTATTAGATTTTATTATTATTAAAGATCTTTATTCTGATGGTGCCATTAGCCACTTTCCCCCTCATCTCCCTCCCATCGTAGGCTCTGTTTTTGAGACGCTACATAAGGTTTTCCCAATGTTCTGGACGTGCTGGGATGCTCTGTAGTCTGAAAACTCCTCCTGCAGGGCTAGAGTTCTGAATTTCATTAGCAATCTGATGAACATGCTGTCTGTTGGAAATTCACCAAGGAGCCTCGCAGATTACTACTTTCTTCCCAAGAACAAACCTTCAGGAGCCTTCAATCATCTTTTAATAAGTCTCCGTACAGTGAGAAGGTCATAAAAGTAATTGGGACAATATCAAAGCAATATCCTTCCCTTATCAAAAGAAATCTCCAGGGGCAATTCAAGTTGGCAATGGAAAAGCCCATAAGCAATGAATTGTAATCTCTCGCTATCAACCAGGCTTAGTTCACAACTGGAAATTGTGCTTTGACTTCAGGCGAGGACATATTTTATTTTATATTGAGGCGAAGGGTGTGCATTGGGAGCCTGCAATCATAGTTGGGATTGCAGGCTCCCAATGCACACCCTTCACCTCAATAGCTTCTCAAGCCTCAACGCCACATGACTTGAGACCAATGTGTTCTCAAAAACAGCAGAGGAGTGTTTCCCTTTTGCATTTGACGTGCTGCGCTTTATCGCATCGGAAGGAATCCTCAAAGCGCTTCACGAGATTCACTGTCAAGTGCAGTGAGTCGGTATTTTTTAAAAAAGTCATTTTATTTTATTTTCCATTCTGCGTGGTTTAAGTTAAACAGAGTTGAGTTCATATATTACCTTGCGTGAGCCTTTGAAAGCGCGCAGAGTGCATATTTCGATCGCTTAAATAGTTGTCAGAGATGCTCAAACAGTCACTTTTTCTCCTTTGCAGCAGTCCGCTTGCTGGCCAGCTGATCGATTTTTTTATCCAGCCGCCTCTGTAGGTGGGCTTTCTTGGTCGGGTCGAGTGAGTGGTCTTTGGTGCCGCTGCCGGCATAAAGGACGCCTTCCCGGCTGATCACTTTCCGGGCGTGAGCTTTGGCTCTCGCGGTGCAACCGTGAACCTGCGGACAGAGGGAGAAGCAACATTTGTCCCCTTATTAGGCTCTCCGAGATCCTGCCCCGCTTGAATGCCGCTATATAAACACAAGTTGTTGTCGATTGCTGCTTCGCCGACAAAATATACAGTCAATTCACTTCACAGTAGATTCTGCGAGCGCTTTGAGACGTCTCGAAGATGTGATAAGGCGCTGTATCAAATGCAAGGATTATTATTATTGACGTCGATGAGATTTCAGATCTAGAGACTGACTTAACACGCGGACATGATGTTGGGACACGGTCTGGGGGTCGATCAGCAGCAGGAGCAGGAATAAGAACACTAGGGTAGAACAAGTTCTCGAAAACGTGCATCTTTCAAGCAGCGTAAACGACGACGACAACAAATTACATTTACACAGCGTCTTTCACGTTGGGAGGACGTCCCAAGGCGCTGGATAGTCAAGAGCAGGGGTTTGAGATCAGGACATAGTGTTACGTGCAGTGACTGTGCATTGTGCAATGTGGCCACAGACACATTTTATAACAACAATAATAATCCTTGCATTTATTATAGCGCTTTTCATGTCTTATTGACACCTCAAAGTGCTTCACAGAATAGGTTGTAAAGTGAACTGACCGTATATTTGTGGGCGAAACGTTTTGATGATGGGGAGAGAAGGTGCAGTGCAAAGAAATTTGGGAGGAGGTCCAGAGAGTGGGGAGAAGTGGGCAGAAAGAGATAACATGGGTAGACAATGAAGGGATTTCAACACAGCACCCTTTACGACCGCACCCACCCTACCTCCTACCCCCCCTTCCTGTCCTCCAACCTCCCGATCCAAAGCCCCAGCTTGTGAGCAAATCCTTGACTGCCCAGCCCCTTTGGGACGTCCTCCTGACGTGAAAGGTGCTGCATCCCTTGGAGTAATTCAGTGTTGTTGTTGCTGCTGTTGTATCCGCCCAGTGTCGCAATAAAGATTTGATTTCAAAGACCCAAGTGGACGTGAAGCAGGTTGACCTTGGCTTCCCCAGTATTCGGGCAGGTCAGTCACATCACCAACAATAATGGGGCAGGTCTTACCTCTGGGATGTGGTGGCTGAAGCAGAAGTGTCTGTTGCAGTGGATGCAGTGCTGCCCGATGGAGAGGACGCTGCTCTTACACTTCAGAAAGGCGCAGGTGCTGTTCTCTTTGATGGTGGCGGCAATAAGCGCTTCGAAATCCTCCTCCTCGCCGCTCGCCGCACGAGATTTCCCTGTAAAATAAAACGGTTCCACACCCAGGATTATTCTGCTCCCATAAGCGCTCCGAGACCCCGTCTGGCGTGAAGGGCGCAATATAAATGCAAGTTGTTGTTGTTGGCCAGGACCGACATGGGTGAGAATTCTGTTGCGTGGAATCGGGCTTAAACAGATAAGGTTTCTATTTTACGGTTATTGAGGGCACCCCCTGTAACTAGTTCTCAAAAGCATTATACAATAAACTCCTGTTAACTCGACCCTGGCTTAACTTAATCACCACTTAAGTCTTCATACTGCCAATATCACAGCCGCTTTATAATACAAAGTCAATCCACTTTACACTGTATCCTGTGAAGCGCTTTGGGTCGTCTCATCGATAATCATTAATCAAATAATTATTATTATTATTCTGTATATTTTTATGGACTGTGACAGAATATACGTGGTCTACAAAAATAAATAAACACAGGCAGAAGACTCGCTCTTCCAGGCACGAAATAGCATTTGCTGGAATTCTGCATCAATCTCTGCAGACAGAGGAGAGAGAGAGAGAAAAAAAAAGGACGTATAAAAAGTCCGCACCCTTCTCCGCATGCTTCTTTTTCTTGTCCGCTTTCTGGGGTCTGTCAGTGCCCACGTTCTGCTTTTGTCTGCTCCTCTCCTCTCGCCTGGCTCCTTCCCTCTGCATGCGTTCCTCATGCAGTCTCTTCAGATCCAGCCCGGGAGGAGGAGAAGGAGGAGGAGGAGAAGCAGGAGGAGGAACTCCCAGCGCGTCCTCCTCGCTCTGACGTTCCCGTCCTTGCTCTGCCTGGGTCTCCGGGGCGGAATTACTGCAGGGGATCGGAGAGGCTTCCTGCCCCTTAGTGTCCGCGACGCTGTTGAGCTGGGCTCCCGATCTCGACAAATCCGGCTTGGCCACCACGATGAACCGTTCCTTGCCTTCCCCTGCACTAGAATGCTGAAGCCCGAGCTCCTCTGCCATCTGGTGGACCAACAGCCGGTCATGAGAATTCAGGGACGGTGGGAACTGGAGCCTCTGGCTCGCATCATCCTCGGCGAACCTGGTTATCTGCTCCCTGAGCCTGAGCTCCGTGGAGTTGTCCCTCACGGCCGCGCTGCTGGTGGGTCTGAACGAGTCCGAAGCCGCGTCCCTCTTCTCCAGAGGGGGCTGCTGTGTCGCGCCATCACCTTGCTTGCTGCTTCGCGTGGCTTTGGCTTTGCCCCGGGCCGGCTTCCCGGCCGCTGGACCTCTCTGGCCGCCCACGCTCCGGTTAACGCTCAGCGGTGCTCCCGGCGCGCGCGTGGCTGTCCTCCCCTCAGCCTGCGGGCTCTCCCGGGTGTAGTTCTCGGGCACCAGATCGTCGCGGTACTCGAACGCGGTCCGCACTTGCCCGCGATTGGTCAGGTAGTCAACCAGCGACCTGAGGAAGGGGTGGGTGCAGACCGTGCGGGTGTCACAGGTCACCATTAGATGGCGTCGAGCCCGGGTCACGGCCACATTGATTCTCCGATCTTCGGCTAAGAAGCCAACCTCGCCTGCAACACAGGGACCGGAAATGTCGCTGGCCGCCAGGAGACCACGCAACGCAAAACCACGAGGATTAGCTCTCGCCTCGCAAGCGACGGGACCCGGGTTTGATTCCCGGGCGGAGGCAAAACATTAGGCGAGTTTCCTTACTCCACACGCCTCTATTTATCTAGCAGTAAGGTGGAACCCGGTTGTTAGTTGATGGGCGCATCGCTTTTTCGAGGGGGGTAATAATCCCTCCCCCCCAAAAAAATAATGATAATAATTTGGTCACGACTCTTTATGGGACAATTTCGCCCCGAAAATACACAGGCAATCCACATTACAATGTATTCTGTGAAGCGCTTTGAGACGTAACCCAACGACGTGATAAGGCGCTATGTCAAATACAATGCAACAATTATTATTAGCATTATTAGGAAAGCCGGCGGCGCTCACCTTTCCTGTTGGATCTCACCAGAGACAGGACAACGGCCTCTTTTTCTCTCCCTTGAAAGCCGTCCACAGACTTGATTTCCAGCTCTGGATGCTGGTCGCACAGCTCCTTCCTCAGCAACTGCACCTGTTTTCGACAAGAGCTCAAATGGCTCAAAGTTCTCCGATTTGCAAATTTCCACAACTTGACTACGAGTTCAAAAGAAAGTGCTCTCTCCACCCCCCCACCCACCCACCTCTACCACCCACCCACTCTCGCCCACTCAAACCGAACCAAACCACTGCGGAGGTTTTTACCTGCAGGTTGTATGGCGCTATTACAGCGATGTCCCTGGCTTGGACGCCAGCCTCGGTCAGGGCTTGAATGTGAGCTGCCACAATCTGAACCTCACCTGGAACACACACAGAATGGCAGTCAGTCACACCAACTGTACGGTCACCACACACACACACACACCAACTGCAGTCACCACACACACACGCCCCCCAACTGTACAGTCACCCCACACACATACCAACTGCATAGTCACCACGCACAAACACACACACCGACTGTATAGTAACAAAACACACACAAACATAAACCACATTTATAGTAATATAATCCTTGCATTTGATGCAGCGCCTTTTCACGTCAATGCAAAGTTCTTAAAGCACTTCACAGGATTTATCGCCGACAAGAGCAATGACAGAGTATTTGCAGTTACATCATCATAATAGTAGTAATAATCCTTGCATTTAATATTGAGCTGTATCATGTCGTGGAGACATCTCAAAGCGTTTCACAGGTTACACTGCAAAATGGACTGACTGTATTTTGTGGGCGAAATGCATTAGACACAATATACACAGGGTCTAACACCGTGGATGAGAGACAGATAAAGCAGATAGACTACCTACACCCCACTCCACGCCTCCATGAAGTACTTCTTACCTGGGTTTCCTTTAGATTGTTCATCTTCCTCGTCAAGCTCAAAGAGGCCACAGGACGCAGTGTCGACAAGAAGCAACGGAATCTCTGTCTCCTCTGTGGAGGCGACTCCGGGCAAGTCCCTGCGAACAGTCAGCAACGCTTAACATCAGCAGCAACCTGCATTTATACAGCGCACTCCGCACGGGATGGGGTCTCCGAGTGCTTGAATACCTACGAACACACACAGTCACTCACTCCATTTCGCAGTAAATCCCGTGAAACGCTTTGAGACGTCCATATTACGTCGGAAAGGATTTACTGCACTACACCAAGCGCAGGGGTAGGAGTGTGGTCGAAGGCGCAGTCGTAGTGGAGGGTCTTGAGAAGTGCCTTGAAAGAAGCGAGGGAGGAAGCGAGGCGAAGGGACTGTGGGATGGAGTTCCAAAGGTGGGGGCAGAGAGGCTGAAGGTCCGACCGTCTTCAGCGGTGAGCCTCAGGGCTCTGTCCTTGGTCCTCTCCTCTCCAACATGGACATGTTCCCTTTTGGTGACATACCCACAGACATGGAGCACACACCTGTGTTTGCACATGGTTTGCATACGACGCATTAAAAAACATGTGGGTGAAGATGGTAGGGAATAAATTTCCCTTGAAAATGTTGCGTATCCATGAAACTGCTCGGCAATCGGTCTCAGGCCCTGGATTGGTGGCCGCGCTCTCAACCACTACACCCCGAAGCTCTGGAACTCTCTCCCTTAAACCCTCCGCCTCACCCCCTCCCTCCCCACTGTCAAATCCCGCCTAAACACCTTCCTTTTTGATCGTGCTTACGGTCACCTCCCCCCTCCCTCTCTCCCTAACCCGGGGTCAGACTCCGCCACTGTCAAGCTCTTCGGGTCCCAACCCTGCGCGAAAGGCGCGATATAAATGCAAGTTGTTGCTGTTTCATTTTCTAGCCAGGTCTCAACTCACTTCAGCAAATGTTGGGCCACAGTCTCGTGAGCCAAGAGCCGACCCTGGTACATCTGTTCGGAAGCCCAGTGCATGATGGAGGCGTGCATTCTGTACTGCACGGTCAGCATGCGGACCACCCCCTCCCCGTGCCTCCCGATTAGCCGCTCCATCAAACTGAGCGACAGACCGTTCGCCGCAGCTCTGAAACGGAGAGAGAGAGCGCGTGTGAAAACATAATGAATAACAGAGCGAAAGACAAAAGGATGGGAGATACAGTAGATAACCGCAACGAGAGAATACGAACAATATGAAACTACGTTTATTATATCGTCGGGAAGATGTTCCAAGGTGTTTTGCACGCAAAATATACAGTCAGTTCACTTTACAGTATATTCTGTGAAGCGCTTTGAGATGTCTCAACGACGTGATAAGGCACTGTATCAAATGCAAGGATTATTATTATAATTCATAATCCTGGCCTTGCACCCGAGCTGTGTGTGGAGGAGGGGAAAGTCGACGTAAAGCGCTGTCAAAGAGGGGTAGGTCTTGAGATGGACCTTGAACGAGGTGATGGAGGGGGGAAGGGGGAAGAGGGAGGGAGTTGCTGACACAGAGCCCAACCGTCGATAGTGGGGAAGATTAGGTGGGGGAACATTAGTGCTCGCTGAGCGAAGGAAGCGGACGGGTCGGGAAAGAAGGACGAGTCTCCCCACCTCCAGCCAACTTACTTGCGCGATTTGATGGTCGGCGGAAGCTGCTTGTGATCTCCGGCCAGGACGCACTTGGGAGCCCTGGGCAGCGCGATCCAGCAGCTGGCCTCCAGTGCCTGAGCGCACTCATCAATCACCACCACGTCAAAATGGTCGTCTGGCAGCAGCTTCAGGGGTCCGTCGCTGGAGGCTCCTGGAAAACAAGGGGCCGACAGGTCAGAGTAAGAGAGCAGAAGCCGCAAACAACAGCAACAAATTGATAATAATAATCCTTGCATTTAATATAGAGCCTTATCATGTCGTTGAGATGTCTCAAAGCGGTTCACAGGATATAACTGCAAAGTGAATTGACTGTGTGTTTTGTAGGCGAATCGTGGCAGCCAATTGCTCACAGCAGCGTCCCCACAAACAGTCGTGGATTGGGTGACCAAATTATTTTATTTTTTGAAGGGGTTATTACCCCTGGAAAGCGATCCGCCAATCGACTAACAACCAGGTTCCTAGTTACTGCCAGGTAAACAGAGGCGTGCAGAGTAAGGAAACTTTCCTAAGGTTTTGCCCTGCCCCAGGGAATCAAACCTTGTCCTCTCGCTTGCGAGGCGAGCACGCTAACCACTATGTTACATTTATATAGTGCCTTTCAGCAGAGTTTCCCTGGCAGCCTCGTTGAGACTCTCCTAAGCGTCTACCTGTGGTTGTTGCCAAGATGACCTCTGCCCGTTTGAGTATATGGACCATGGCTGCTTCCTCCCTCTCCCTCAGCTCCTTCTTCAAGCCCTTGATCTCGCCACGAAGCCAGCTCTTCTCCCCTTTGTCTCGGGCTTTTCTCATTCCGCTCTTTGGAAGAGAAACACAAAGTCAGTCATTTCTACCCACTAGGTGGGTTGCTTTCACGCTTGTAGCAATGATTCAAGTCATAGATGTGAACCCCCACCACGCACTCCCAATGTAGGTAATAATAATAATAATCCTTGCATTCGATATAGTGCCTTACCATTTCTTCGAGACGTCGCAAGGCGCTTCACAGGATACACTGTGAAGTGAATTGACGATATTTTATGGGCGAAACGCGGCAGCCGATTGCGCACAGCAGCGTCCCACAAACAGTCATGGATTGAGTGGCCAAATTATTATTATTATTATTTTTGAAGGAATTACTGTAGGTACGTACAAAGGCCTGATCGATGTCTTTCCGGATATCCATCACTATCTGCGTGCCGTCACTGTGCGCCAGGACAGCGTCCAGGCAATGCCGTTGTATCGATTCAAGCAGTCGAGCCGGGTGCCCCAAACGCAAGACTTTCGCTTTAAACGATGCCAGGCGCTCCACCAGGTTATCCACAGCAACGTTGGAGGGAGCACAGCAAAGCACCTTCAGGGAATAGACACCACACACGCACGCAGTAACAACTTCAGGTAGGAACAGGCCATTTGTCAATCCAGTTAACCCATCCAGCTTCCCACAGAATTCCTGCCCCCCCCCCCCCTCTAAATCCAATCACCCTGCGATCTCTTGAACAACTCCTGTCTGAAATACAACTGCTCGCTGCAGCCATCTAGATTATTGAAACAATTTGTATAAAAGAAAAATAATAATAATAATATTCCTCGCATTTGACACAGCACCTTATTATGTCATTGAGACGTTTCAAAGCGTAGTGGATTGCATTTTGTGGGAAAAACTATGCAAATTTTCTAGAAGCCGCCAATGTTTCTTTCAAGGCTTCGATGAGAGAAGCGGCTATTACTCAGAACCACCTTGAGTGAGACGTAAAGACTGGAGTGGAATCTTGGTGAGCAGTACACAAACTCTGAGGGCAAACTATCCAATTTAATTTCCAAGCCGTACACAACGCAAGCAGAATATTCGCAGATATGGATGAGGGTCTCACCTTCAGGCCTTGCTTTACCACCTGCAGAATCACTTCCACCACCGTGGTGGTCTTCCCTGTGCCGGGGGGGCCGTGAATGATCGCCACCTCCTTCTGCGACAGAGCAAACTGCACGGCTTCCCTCTGTGAGCCGTCCAGTCGTGGGTTGTAAAGCGCCAGGCTTGCTGAGGCAAGGCAAACCCATCAGTACAAACAACAACGACGACCGCAACTTGCGTTAACGCAGCGCCTTTCAGGTGGGGCGGAGTCCCGGAGCGCTTAAAATCAGTAACAATAGAAAAACAGGCATTTTTAGCAATTGGCCAGCCGCGTGTCTGACGCATGCAGAAACAACAACAACAACAAGATTCCATTTATAAAGCGCCTTTCACGTCAGGAGGACGTCCCAAGGCGCTGCACAGTTGGTACTCATCACAGTGCTCGAGTGTATCCAAACCAAACTGAGAATTCCATGCATCCCACATGGAAATTCCAGAGATAGATTGTTGGAATGGAATGCGCTCTCTCTCTCTTTCTCTCTGTCTCCCTGGAGGGATGCATCCTGCTTACCTAATTCCAGAAAGTATTAGGCGCAGGTTGGCAGGAACCAAGGCTTGACGACCTACGTGTGTGTTGGGGTAACTGCTGGAGTCTAACCAGCTACAATTCCATTCAGCGCATTGCTTTTGACGATGTCAGCCACAAGTATTTCCCACTAGCAATCATCCCTAATGGCGAATGGAATTTTTACCCCCTCCCTCAAGTCTCTCTTACAATGTATTTCACATTACGGGACAAAAAAAAAATATCAGTTTCCATCTTCTAGTCTGGAACGAGAACGAAGAGATGAGTGGATCTTACGTGGGTTTCCTGACGGAGTGCTTGGCTCGGAGGTGCCGAACAGGACCCCGATCAAATTGGAAGCCGGCCCAGCGTGATGTTGGCTCAAAGCATTCAGAGCCCTGCGAATGGGAGAGAGAAACAGCAAAGGGAGAAGCGTGATTAAGGGACTGAAGCGTTAACAAACTCATCTTTTTTTTAAAAAAAATAACGCATCAAACAACACCACAGATCCCGTGGGAGCAGAAATTCCCGCAGATCAGCATTTGTGACAGATTTTTCCTTTTATTAAGGAATCCCATTAAGGTACACCACAAAATTAAGACCAACCCTTGTGAGTTTTTGTCAATCACTTCCCTACTAGAGTTCTCTGCTCTAAGCCCATTCCCCTGCTCTTTCCACCATCGTGTCTGTTACTGGTGCTCACTCCCCCGCAGGAACTCTCTACTCTAACCCCATTCCCTGCTTTCTCCCCAATGTGCCTGTGCTCGCTCCCCCACTGGAGCTCTCCACTCTAATCCCATTCCCCTCTCTTCCCAATTTGTGTGTGCTGGTGCTTTCTCTACTGGAGTCCAAAGCAAACCTACAATGAAAGCGCACACGTAAAGATCTACTGACGATCGATCACGAGGCGTTAACCCAGAAGCAAAGCAGTTTGGGTCATTCCTTTGCATTACTTATTAGGTGAGCTGAATTTAAACAAAAACTTCCTACAAAATTCTTACTTCTTCAGTCTTTTGTACGTGACATCGTTCGCCAGTTTCAGAAGTTTATAGGAACTCTCGTCGTCAAGGGTTAGCTGGTCATTGGTGTCGTCAATGGCTACCGTGACTGATTTTTGCGTGACACGCGTGACAATGCCCGATGCCAGCTGGTCGGACGGACCACATCCCTGAGAGTCATACAGCCCCACAATGTCCCCTGTTAAATACACAAACAGAACAAGCAAATTAGCTCTAATTTCCTTCCCCCACCGTGCCCCACACACCACCACTTGATAATCGCGGACGTTACAGGGCTGAAGGAGATCATTTGATTTATCAGGCTCTGGCTGGCGCTCGCCACTCCAATCCCATTCCCTGGTCTCTCCCCCATTGTGCTTGTCCCACTGCTTGCTCCCGCACTGGAGCTCTCCACTTCAATCCCATTCTTTCCCCCATCTCTTTCCCCCATTGTGTCTGTACTGGTTCCTCGCTCTAATCCCATTCTTCTGCTCTTCCCCATTGTGTCTGTGTTATTGTTTGCTCCCATTTTAGAGCTCTTTACTCCATTCCCGTGCTCTTTCCCCCCTCACCAACCCACCCACCCACCCACCCACTGCTGGCTCCCCCTCGGGTTCATTCAGAATTACACCCTTATCTTGAATCTCAAAAACTCGGTTCTAAACTGCTGACCTCGGTGCAAACTAAGAGAAAGGAACAGATGTGGGACAAATGAAGGCACGCACCAGGTCCGAAGTCATTGCTGGGAAGTAATGCGTTGGTCTCGAATTTCCTTGGCTCAAAGGTTACCAAGCAGCGACCGTACAGGCCCGTCCTCTGGTTCACTATCCGCAGCTTCAGCAAGCACACGCCTCGCCGCTGGAGCTCCTTCAGGGAAACACATTCCTGCCAGGCCCTGAAATCAAGCTTCAGGGGTTCAGCTTGCTCGGCTCTTGTTGGCAAACACTCACCGATTCAACAACGCACAACCCCATTCGGCAATAATAATTGCAGCGCTCTCCCCCCTCTGCTCAAGTGCTGGAATGTCAGTCTGGACTCAAAAGTGGAAAGTCCCAACATGGGGCTTGAACCCATGACCTTCTCACCCAGAATTCAGGGTGCTACCATCTGAGCCAGGTTGACGATAACAAAATGATGACCCCCCCCCCACCACCACTCCACCCCACCGTGTGGAGGAAACTTACCTCGCCTCTTCAATTTCAGCCTCTCTTTCTTCTTGCAAAAGCTCTAGGTTTTGAGATACAAAACTCTCCATTCCTGGTCTCTTGAGGCTATTCAAGGAACACAGGTAGGACATACATCAACTCAAAATGTTTACAAATAGAACTCTTCTCATTCTCTCTCGCTCACTTTGTATCTCTCTATGTAGATTTCACATGGTATGCAATCCCTCTATGCAGCTGAAATTTAAATATCAAAACATACAGTCAATTCCCTTTGCAGTCTATTCTGTGTAGCACTTTGAGACGTCTCTCAAGTATTATTATTATTGTTATTATAGTCTCACTCTGTGTACATCTATCCTTCCGCCTTGTCCCCTTCTTCCCATCTTTAGGTTGCGGCTGAAGACCTTCCCTTTCGACGGTGCCGCGGACCACCTCCCCCTGGCTCTGCCATTGCCAAGCCCTTTGGGATGCTGAGGGGTGCTCTATAAATGCAAGTTGTTTGTGTATATCAGATGGTGAGATGGAGACACAAACGGTGCTATATAGAGTGACACACAGTGATACACTGAGAGGGGGGGGGGCACAAGTGAGTGGGGGGGAGTGAGTGGGGGGGAGTGAGTGAGTGGGGGGGAGTGAGTGGGGGGAGGGGCGCCTTATCTAGGGATATACATTAATATAAAATAATAATAATCTTTGCATTTGATATAGTGCCTGATCATGTCATTGAGACACACACACACACACACACACACAGAGTCCTGGCGTGAAAGGCGCTATACAAATGTAATCTTGTTGTACGCGTCCACACATACATGGTGACACAGTGTCAGGCACACACAGCGATATGGACTGACACACAGCATCACAGATACACAGAATATACACAGATACACACACAGTGAAAAACACACATATAGTGAGAGAGACAGAGTGACACACACAGAGTGACACACACACACACACACAGAGTGACACAGAGTGACACACACACAGAGTGACACACACAGGGTGACACACACACACAGAGTGACACAGAGTGACACACACACAGAGTGACACAGAGTGACACACACACAGTGACACACACACAGAGTGACACACACACACAGTGACACACACACACACAGAGTAACACAGAGTAATACACACACACAGTGACACACACACACACAGAGTGACACACAGACGGAGTGACACACAGAGTTGACACAGAGTGACACACACACAGAGTGACACACACACACACAGAGACACACAGTGACACACACACACACACAGTACACACAGTGACACACACACACACAGAGACACACAGTGACACACACACACACACAGTACACACAGTGACACACACACAGTACACACAGTGACACACACACAGTACACACAGTGACACACACACAGTACACACAGTGACGGGTGTAAACTCTCTGAGGCTCAGCGGCTTCTCCCCCTTTGCCCTTTCCCGGCGCCAGAAGTTCAGTGTGTGTCCGTCCCGCTCTGTCCTCCCCCTCTCCCCTCTCCCCCCGTGTGTCCGCGTCCGTGTCTCTCACTCACAGCCGCGGCGCTGGGCTCCCGGGGGGGGGGGGTGGGGGGTGTCGGTGTGTCCCTGTCCCGGGTGTGTGTGTGTGTGGGTGGGGGGGGGTAGGCCCGGAGCCGGGGGTTGAGTTCCCTCCCGGTGCCGGGGGGGGGGGGGGGGGGGGGGTTGTGTCGAGGCGGCGTTTCCGGTGTGAAGATGGCGCTGGGCTGCGGGCGGCTGGTGGCGGCCTGGGCCCGGGCCCGGGGCCTGAGGCCCGCAGGTGAGAGACACAGGCCTCGGCCTCTCCTGCGGGACCCTCTGGGATCCTGTATCCCAGGGCCTGGGAGCCCTCTTGGGGGGGGGGGGGGCAGTGAGGGTGGGGAGGAGTTGGGGGGAGTGAGGGTGGAGGGGGGGAGTTGGGGGGAGTGAGGGTGGGGGGGAGTTGGGGGGAGTGAGGGTGGGGGGGAGTGAGGGTGGAGGGGGGGGAGTTGGGGGGAGTGAGGGTGGGGGGGAGTTGGGGGCAGTGAGGGTGGGGGGGAGTTGGGGGGAGTGAGGGTGGGGGGGAGTGAGGGTGGAGGGGGGGGAGTTGGGGGGAGTGAGGGTGGGGGGGAGTTGGGGGCAGTGAGGGTGGGGGGGGAGTTGGGGGGAGTGAGGGTGGGGGGGGAGTGAGGGTGGGGGGTGGGGGGCTTATCTGGGGACACACAATAATATAAAGTAATAATAATAATCATTGCATCTGATCACGTCTTCGAGACGCCTCAAAGCGCTTCCCAGGATATACTGTAAAATGGATTGACTGTACCTTAGTTTGGCAGAGCCGAGGCTTGAGGACCCCAGAGTTTGCCATTGGTAGCATTGTTTGGCAAACTTTGTCCATCCAGGGCCACCCTACCCCAAGTTAGGGCTTTGGCTTGCAGGGTTAGTGGGGAGTGAGGGTGGAGGGGGGGGAGTTGGGGGGAGTGAGGGTGGGGGGGAGTTGGGATGATTCCCCGCCCGCAGTGACTTGTCTGCCCTTCCAAGACCTGCCGTCGAGTCAGGTGTAGTCGTCAGCATTGGACTCAGAGCCTTATCATGTTGTTGAGACGTCTCAAAGCGTTTCTCAAGGTGCACTGTCAAGTGGATTGACTGCGTTTCCAGGCTAATCACGGCAGCCAGTTTGCGCACAGCAGTGTCCCACATGCAGCCATGGAGTGAGTGACCAATTTTACACCAGGAGAGAGAAACTCGCTTTGCAAGCGAGGAGACCTGAGTTCAATTCAATTCCAGGCAGGTCAGGGCCAAACCTTGGGCAAGTTTCCTTACTCCACACAGAGCCTAATAATAATCCCTCCAAAACCTAAAACAATAATTAAATTGGTCATTTTCAATCTACGACTGTTTGTGGGACATTGCTGTGCGCAATTGGCTGCCGCGTTCGCCCACAAATATACAGTCAATTCACTTTACAGTGTCTTCTGTGAAGCGCTTTGGGACGTCCTCCCGACGTGAACAGCGCTATATCAAATGCAAGGATTATTAACTCACTTTACTTTTGAAAGAGTGGCACTTTTAGGGTCTTTAACGTCCACCTGAACAGGCAGATGGGATCCTCCCCTGTGTCCTGGCTGACGATCTCCCAGATAAAATCGCTTAGTTGCTCCATGGCTGTTTGCAGGGTGTCACCGTGCACAACTCGGCCCTTTACAATGAATCCCGTGAAGGACTTTGAGACGTCCTTCTGCAAGGATTATTATTATTATTGCACACAGCAGCATCCCACAAACAGCCATGCAGTGAATGGCCAAATCAGATCACTGAATATGACACTAAACTTAAAAGCAATAATCCTTTGCATTATGTTGGGTTTTTAAACTCAAATAAAATGATTTATAAAAATTAAAGTTCATCTGACTAAATAGTTTTGGTGTAAAATTGAAAGCCAATTTTTAATGCTGAGATCACTAAGGTGTGTAACATTAACTGAGGCTCTTGTGTTCTCCCCCCCGCAGTTTCCTTAGTATCTTCTGTGACAAGATGTCAGAGTTCCAATAGCAGTTTGCAACAGCAAAGGTGATATGAAAATCTGCATCTGGTGAAAAATTGTTCATTTTGCAAGCTAATTAAATGCACCGATAGTTTAATGTTCTTTCCCCTATCTAAAATCCTTTCTTAACAGGATCGAAGCGGTAACATCCTTGTCAAAGCCACCGTGGGCGGAAGTCAAGTTGCCAGAACCGGCAGAAGAGGCAAACTACCACACAGGTTAGAGTCTGACGTTTACCTTACTGTGGCCGGCGCATAAAAACAGGAGTAGGCTTTTCAGCCCCTCAAGCCTGTTCTGCCATTTTATAAGATCAAGTCTAGTTATCCACCCCTGCCCCATATCCCTTAATAGCCTGACCTAGCAAATATCTACATCTACGCAGCCCGCCAACTCTGTGAGAATTATGCAAGTGGAGGCTAATACATTGACATTGTGTGAAGTTTGTCTGACAGATTCTGGAGCAGATTGCTGAAGAATTTCCCCAGTATCGACCACGAGTCCCACCAGAGTCGCTAGGCTGGGTCAGTAACGGGCTGCCTGTTGCTTTGCTTGCAGAGGTTGTAGATAATGTGACGGCTATGATTGCCACCGGGCAGTATGGCAGACTCTTCGCAGTCGTGCACTTTGCTGGTCGTCAGTGGAAAGTGACCAGTGAAGACCTAATTCTGGTAGCAAATCACATCGAGGCGGAATGTGGAGACAGAATCAGGATGGAGAAGGTGAGGGGACTGAAGCAACAGACGGGAAAGGCACAGGATAAAACACCAGTGTTAGAAGTTGGCTGATTTCCTTTGGGGGTCGTAGTTGTTCCGGGATGTGGGGGGAGGGGAAGGAAAGTGAGCAAGACACATCCTACAATTGTCCCTCAGCGCTACTGTGTTAAGAAAGGGAAAAATCAGCCAGTGTTCCTGCGCTGTTTACCATTTGGACACCCTCCCGCTGGAATGCACTCACATGGCAATTTTGCTTGGGAACAGAGCAATTTTCTCCCACTTCCTCCCTCAATCCTGCAGTTGAAAAGCCGACCAACACTCACCGTCGCAGATCACACTTGAATAACGGTCAAGTGGGCCAGTTACCAGTGAGTGGCTGGCACCTATGAAACCGAACTTCTATGAAGAAGGACTGAGTAGTTTGGGAAGGGAAATAATTGGTACACGTGTGAGGATGGGGAGGGGAAGAAAAGCATACAGATATAGCTTAGTGGTAGAACACTCGCCTGACAAGCTAGAGGACCTGAGTTCGGTTCCCGGGCAGGGCAAAACATTTCCTTACTCCCCAAAGCCTCTGTTTACCTAGCAGTAGGCAAGCACCCGGTTGTTAGTCGATTGGCGGAATGCTTTTCTGGGGATAATAATCCCTTCAAAAAAAATAATGATAAGTTGGTTACTCAATCCTTGCATTTGAGACGTCTCAACGACGTGATAAGGCGCTATATCAAATGCAAGGATTATTATTGCAGTGAATTTCCACAGAGAAATTGGTTTATTTTCCGGAACTGTCTGATTTAAACAATGCTAAACTGTAAGAACACAGACTAGCTGTGCTAAGACCCGTGGCTGTGCCCCCATTATACGTCTTGCATGTTGTAGAACCCACCCCGTTGTTGCTGTTTGTTTGCAGGTGTTGTTAGTCGGCGGGGTCGACTTCACACTGATTGGGAGGCCGCTTCTTGGGTAAGGGTTTGTGTAAAAAATTAACTGGATTTGCACTGTTTGTATTTTTTTTTTAAAAAAAGTGCTTGTGCATCCGTTATTTTATTTCAACAAAATAATGAACCTCAAGGTGGCGAGACTTCCTGCCTCTTGGATTTTTGGTTCGGCAGATAAAGGTGCTGCTGAGGTGCAAGTTACTTAGAAACAGGAGTAGGCTATTCAGCCCCTCGAGCCTGTTCTGCCATTCTATAAACTCATGGCTAATCTGTACCTCAAGTCCAGTCACCCGCCCTTGCCCATATCCCTTAAAACCCTGACCTAACAAATATCTGTTTAGCGTAGTGTTGAAATGTGAATGGATCCAGCATCTACAACTTGTTGGGGGAGAGAGGTCCAGATTTCCACGACCCTTTGGGTGAAAAACTGCCTCCTAATTTCACTGCTAAATGGCCTACCTCTGATTTTAAGATTATGCTCCCTTTTATGGATTCTCCCACCAGAGGAAATAGTTTCTCTTCGCATTGGTTCCTTCATTGAAGTGCCCTTTGTGTTACAATAGTCCAGAGATTGAAAGTCAGTGATGAGGGGCCATAGTTATAAGATAGTCACAAGAGCAAAAGGAGAGAGTTCAGGAGAATTGTTTTCACTCGGAGTCTTTGGAATGCGAAATAGACTGCCAAATAAGATGGTGGAGACAGAGTCCATTGGGGGTTGAGGGAAAAAGATAGAGGATTGAGGGGATAGAAGAGATAGGGCGTGGGGAGTGGGGTGGGGGGGAGGGAGGATGTGGAATAGAGTGAACAAGTTACTTGAAGACGGTACAGACTCCATGGGCTGAATGGCCTTCTGTCCTGTAAATTTCTGTGATCGCAAACCAAAGTAGCATTGCGCTTTGCCGTTTACGTCAAGTTGTGTGTGTGTTTCGGTGTCTAAGGCGGGACCTGGTACGAGTTGAGGCGACCGTCATTGAGAAGACCGAATCCTGGCCGCGGATCCTTTTCCGATTCAGGCGCAGGAAGCGATACCGCAGGAAAAAGAGTGAGTAAGGAGCTCTTAGCGGCGCTCCTCCTACCCCAAGCTAACGCCCGTTTGATTTCCGCGCAGAATTATTATTTGCGAGTATTAAGCTTGCTAAAATGAGCGTTTGATTTTCCCTGGTTTTAAACTCGACTGTAACTCGCCTTCTTCTCACCTTTCAAAATAATCCAGTCTCTCCAGGGAATTTCTGATTAAAAGGCTACCATCATTTTTACTCTTTAACTTGCAGTAATCATACAACCCCAGACTGTTCTCAGGATCAACACAATTGATATTGCCCCAGCTCTGACCTGACACTACCGACCGACTGTCCCCAGGTGATTGCAGTTCAGCTCCAGGATTAAAGTCAGAAAGGAAAGCGTCCTGTGTTCCAGTGAACCTGATTGAACTCTGGGTCGTTGTGGAGCTCACGGGTTGAGCTTATGACCTGAATGTTCTGTGGGAAACAAAATTGTTCTAGCTCCAAAATCTGCTGTAAAAAAAACCACAAGTTTCGACCTGTAAAAATAAAAGTTCTTTTCTAAGTCCGATTGCTTCTATTTTCCCATCGCAGAGCGAGGTTGATTTTTCTGTTTGTAAATGCGCCAAGATCTTCTTTGTTTCCTCATTCTGAGTTTACAGCACATTGAAAAGACGAGAGAAAAAAAATTCCCAAGGTCAGACACGAAGCAGTAGAATTTCCCACCAGTTTTCAAAGGGTCGTTGATTGCTTCTCATCCAACTATGATGAAAAGCTGATCATCTGAGACCACTTTCCCCAGAGCAGAGAAGGTTGAGAGGGATAACAATGGAAGTGGTTCATGTCACCCTCTGAAGTGGAATCAATCAGATCGTTTTAAAAAAAAGGGTAATTAAAGGCATGGAAAGATAAGAATATACAGAAGGGAGCAACAGCTAACAACAGTGAGGGGAACAGTTAGCCAACAATTTCACACACAAATGTGCTGAATTTATAATGTGTTCTCTAGGTGGCAGTGCAATTACTGTGAAATAACAGTTACAGTACAAGGAAGCACTTCTTAATATTGAATCCAGTTTAAGAATGTGCAGTCGTGCCCTATAATTCTTGTGTTAATTTAACTCAATAATGACCACTCTCCTCCACTGGTTCCAGTTTGGCTCCCAATACTACCCCAGTTAATATAAGTAATCTTTGCATTTGATACAGAGCTTTGTACATAAAATATAGAAGCATATCAAAAGTACTTTGCAGTTATCATTGTAAAGTGTAGAGAGTTAAGTGTGTAGGCAACACAGCAGCAAATTTGTGCACAGCAGGTAATAATATAATAATAATCCTTGCAGTTAATATAGCGCTTTTCACGTCTTCTCGACTTCTCAAAGCGCTTCACAGAATATGCTGTAAAGTGAATTGACCGTATATTTGTGGGCGAAACGCGACAGCCAATTGCGCACAGCAGTGTCCCACAAACAGTGGGAGGTGAATTATAAACAAGGAAGTGAATGAGCAATTTAACTGGGGGAGGTGGGGAGGGAATTGTTGTCTAGGATACCGGGAGAAATGACTTCTCTTCAAATCAGACCAAGGTCTTTTAACACTCACCTGAATAGGGCAGATAGGACCTCAGTTTCCCCCACCCCAGCCCCCCCAGTACTGCACAACATGAGCAACAACAACAAATTACATTTGTAAAGCACCGTCTACGTCAGGAGGACATCCCAAGTCGCTGCACAGTCAGAGATCCGCACCTGAGACGTGGTTGGGATCAGGAGGAGTGGAGGGTGGGGAGCATAGGGGTAGGAAGGTGACTGCCGAATGTACAGTTGAAGAGGAGGGCCTTGAGATGGGTCTTGAAGGAGGCAAGAGGGAAAAAAAAACAAAAAGAGAGCAGTTTGAGGTAGAAAATACAAAAAGACATTGAACTGCTGTATTGAAATTCAGAACTTTACGTTTTTTTTTAATAGACTACTAAGTTGTAAAAATCCAGGCGCACACACCCTGAAACTACAGGTTCAAAAGGGGAGGCAAACAGGGCTCTTACAATACAAAAATAAAAATGTCAATACATAATTTATGTTATTGAGCTTCTAGTTTGAGGCAGTTCAGAGTCTGTGGTTGAGGTTAATGCGGTCGGTGGTTATACAGTACTAACGAGCGGGTGGAGATTTTTGGCAAATGATCCACTAGGAATTGAATAACATTCGGGAATTTCCACCAAGGTTTCGCAACGTTGCTGTAAATACTTCCTCTAGAGGTTCACACATCAACACAATACATCTGGCTTCAGTTCTGAATGAATTCACAACCATCACCTACAGCAGGATCCAACGCATCTTTCTTCGTGTTTCATTGACTTCCACGTCTCTACATCAGACAAAGGCTTTCGCTTCCCATCAGAGAACATCAAGGCTACAATAGGCTTCACTGGTGCAAAGGCAACCTTGCTCACAAGGGAAATTTACATTGTGATGAAGGACGAGTGAGTTGGATCCTTCCACACAGATGGAGGGTAGGTCCACATTGGCCCAATATCTCGGAAAGTCTAAAGGCAAGAGTCCTTCTAAAGGCCAATGCAGTAAATCAATGCGGGAAGGTACCCATGGAGAGCTAGCCGTGGATTTGTCAAGTGAGGTCGTTCCTGCATTGAATTCCCTTCTCCCCAGGCCAGAGTTCCTCTCTCTGCCGCGTTCACTAGCAGCAGCCTCTCTTCTCTTTATAGTCGTTGTGCAACTGGAGGAAAGTTTCTTTCCGCCGGTCCTCCTGTTCGGTGAGCAATCTGCGGCAAATAAAAATAAAAAAAATAATAATTTGGTCACTCAATCCACTGCCGCTTTTCGCCCACAAAATATACGACAAAATATTCACGTTACAGAATATTCTGTGAAGCGCTTTGAGACATCTCAACGATGTGATAGGTCGCTATATCAAATGCAAGGATTATTATTATTATTCCAACCCATAAACCTTCTGACTCAAAGGTGGGAGAGAGAGTGCTGGATCACTTTAGATCAAATTCAATGCACGTGATATTCACAAGCGAGTCCAAGGAGACAGCAAAGAGCTTACCTTGCCACGTGCATCATTGGTTCCATAATGTTGTAGCCGGATCTGGCGCTACATTCATAGAACACCGCCCTGTAATCCTAGCACAAAGAACATCCAGTCCCATTAACATGCTGTACAAGGTTACAGCTGCTATATAAACAGATCAGCGAGGACACCTGCGCTGGTTAAAGTGACCAGAGGGAGTTTGCTAACAGCTACATCAGTACATCTCAAAAAACGTTGATAGAAAAGAAAAGGGAGCACAGAATAAAATATGGAACATATAGACTGAGGGACTTTGAAGTCGCACTTCCACTCACCTTGGCTAATCTTTGACCTTCTGCGTTCGACACCCGCCGGGCTGCACAGTCCGCCGTATCTACCTTGTTGCCAAGCAGGCAAATAACAGCTCTTTCGTCCATTCCTTCCTGTTAGACCAGAAGACAAATGTGTGAGAAACTCTCTACATTTCAGCACTTGAGCTACATCAGGCCATCGCTCTCTCAGACATTGACTGAAGAGCATCGGCTGCACTTTGCCATCTTAATTTTGCCCATTCAGCGGGCTCCGGCTTGCTCCATGTCTCCTGCCTGACCCGCCCTACCATTGGAAACCGGGCTTTCAACGTCTCTGCCCCCACACTCTGAAACTCCATCCCATGCTCCCTTTGCCTCCTTCAAGGCCGGTCTCAAGACACTTACCTTCGACCGTGCCTTTGGTCTCCCTCCCACCTCTCTGCCTTCCCTCACCCCTACTCCACCCCTCCCCCATGCTCGGGCCCCGACATCTGACTGTACAGCGCTTTGGGACGTCCTCACGACGTGAAAGGCGCTCTATAAATGTCATTTTGTTGTTGTTGTTGCCCGCAACATACACAGTCACTCCACTTTATAATATATTCTGTGAAGCACTTTGAAACGTCTCATCGTCATGATAAGGCGCTATATACAAGGATTATTATAATTAATTATTAGCGCTTTTACCTAATTAAATCAAACATTAAATTAAATAACTGCCTCCTTCAAGGCAATAATAATTAAATAATATTTAAATTAATATTTAAAATTATTTTAAAAATGAAATTGAACAATAATTAAAAATAATAAACATTAAATTATTAAAAATTAAACTTTAAACTCAATCCACGACTGTTTGTGGGACGCTGCTGTGTGAAATTGGCTGCCGCGTTTTGTCCACACACCATAGTCTGTGACGCTTTGAGAAGTTTAGAAGACGTGAGAAGCGCTAGATCAAATGCAAGGATTATTATTATTATTATTACCTGAACGCTGATCATCCAATTCCTAACTGCGATGAACGAAGATTCCGTTGTCACGTCGTACATGACCAAGACCCCGTCTGCTTTGCGGAAGTATTGCTTGGTTACACTGCGAAACCTTCGGAGGTACGGCAGGAAAGGTCCGGTCAAAATAAAGACATTCCACATCACATGGTGATCACAGTCATCACATCGTCACAGGTTCCTAAACATAGATCTTCTCAACCCAATGGTTGTGGAGAGGACCGATTTGAGCATACTGTTATTACCACTGATAATAACCCTTACATTTAATACAGCACCTTTCACATTGGGAGGACATCTCAAAGGGCTTCACAGGATTTTATCATGGAGTGCGACAACTGTGTATCTTGAGGGCTATCGCGGCAGCCAAATTGCGCGTAGCAACGTCCCACAAAGCGAGCGATCAATTCGATTGGGGATACAAGTTTTCTTCTTTAATAACACAAATCACTGGTATTGACGGATACTTGAAAGCAGTAAATCCGACATTTGAAAGAGCTTCGAAACATTCCAAAGCGGGTTATTTGGAGGGCAAACACAGCAGCCACTTTATAAATAATTGCTGTCAAGCACGGTGATTGTCATCTTTTTTTGTAGGGTGACAGGACAGCCGTTTTGCATCCACGGCGGTCCCGCAAACAGCGATACACAACTATTGCAAGCTTTTTGTTGGCCTGGGGGAAAAAAAACACTCTCTTTCTTCTTATAATAAATAAATAAATAATCCTTGCATTTGATATAGCGCTTTTCACGTCTTCTCGACGTCTCAAAGTGCTTCACGGAATAGACTGTAAAGTGAATTGACCGTATATTTGTGGGCGAAACGCTGCAGCCAATTGCGCACAGCAATGTCCCACAAACAGTCGTGGATTGAAAATGACCAATTTATTATTGCTTTGTTTTGGAGGGATTATTATTGGGTTTGTGGAGTAAGGAAACTTGCCCAAGGTTTCACCCAAGGTTATAGTATCACAGGATCTTAATATCCCATCCACACCTCCCCTTCCAAAAAACGTCCTGTGCTCAGTTGGCTGCGGTTATTCTCAACTGGGTTTCTCTTTGCTTGGAATATTGGGTGAGTTACCTTTCCTGTCCTGCAGTGTCCCACAGCTGCAATGCTACCTGGGTTTGGCCCACCAGCAGACTCTTCACTTGGTAGTCGATACCTGCCAACAGAGAGGAGGAGAGAGACAGGAATCCCATCACATCCCAACAACGACAACACAATTGCATTTGTATAGAGCCTGTCATGTCGGGAGGACATTCCCCAGGAAGTCCCCAGAATTGCCTGTTCCCCCTCCCCCCCACCACATGCGCCCAAATTCGGGTCCCACATTCTCCTTCAAATGCACAGTCGATCACTCGGGCACCAATTCCTGCTAAGGAGAATTCCTTCCATGGTGGCGCGATCAGAGCCCACTCCGCCAACAGTAACAGTGTCGAGGAAAGAGCGCGAGCGCCCCAAGAGCTAACACACTGTGTACAGGTTATAGCAGGGGTGGGGGTTGGGTGGGTGCTGGGTGTTTGTACCGCGCTTGTACTGGAGGGCGGCGCTTGTAGCGGCTGCAATCAATGACCGTTATCCTGAATGGTGAGATGCCCGGTTCACTGAAGCAGCCAGACTACCTTTTAACACAGGTAATGGAAGAGACTGTGAAAATGTGCCCGCAACTGTGAGGTGGCTGGATTACTGAGGTGACCGCAAACCGGGTTTCTGCTGTATTTATCTATTATATATTATACATATAATAATTATTGTATATAATTGTAATATATATACACACACACACACACACTCGCCCACACATTTTATAACATCAGTCCACAAAAAAACAGCACAGCGCAATTTCAATGCAACTCTGTAATCGCACACGATTTCTATTTACCAATCGTAGCGCAGATTTCGGTGTGGAATCGATCGTGGGAAAAACGATGGATGAAAGAGCTCTTCCCAACTCCCGAGTTTCCCACCATCACCAATTTAAATATCCGGTCGGGGGAGCAATGATCTGCCTCAGACACCTGGAAGGAAGGGCAAGAGAACATAGCATTTCCTGCCTTTTATCAGTAACCCAGTCAGATAATATTTTCCGCAATTCTGCGTTATCTTAAGACAGAATGACTTTACAGACTAAGACAAGACCCTTACTCTCTTTGGATGAAGAAGCTCTTTGAGCCCATCTGATACACATGTAGACACATATTTTATAATAATAATCCTTGCATTTGATATGGCGCCTGATCATGTGTTCGAGACGTCTCAAAGCTCTTCACAGAATATACTGTAAAGTGAACTGACTATATTTTGTGGGCGAAACTCGGCAGCCAATTGCGCACAGCAGCATCCCACAAACAGTCGTGGATTGAGTGGCCAATTTATTATTATTTTGTAGCATTGGTCCACAGAACAGTGCAGCACAATTTCAATGAAACTCAGAGTCCTGTAGCTCAGTGGTTGGAACACTCGCCTTGCAAGCGAGAGACCTCGGTTCGATTCCCAGCAGGGCAAAACCTTGGGCAAGTTTCCTTACTCCACACACCTGACAATAATCTCATTTGCAACTCTAAACCCGTGTCCTCTTGTTCTACTGTCTCTGTGTATCTGAAAGAATTGATCTCAGTTTACTCTTTCAATCCCATTTAAAATATAATACACCCTTCTCTTTAAGGTCCCCTCTGAGACATTTTCTCTCAAGACTGAAGAACCTGAGCTTGTCTAATCATTGCTTAGCTCATTCCTCTGGCACTGGGGATCATTCTCGTTGCACTCCTTGGCACTGTCTCTAGAGACACCCCACAAGACCATAGGAACATAGAAACAAGAGTAGGCCATTCAGCCCCTCAAGCCTGTTCTGCCATTCTGTTAGACCATGGCTGATCTGTACCTCAACTCCAAGACCACCCCAGAAATAAAGCGTAGGGGACCTTCTCAACCTTACCCACCGCTGCATGAGTGCCGATGGGCTGGGCTCTGGGTGTGAGAGGCCTCTGCAGTTCTTCCTTCTCCTCTGAGTTGAATGGAGACATCCCATAACCTGGAGTTTGGCAGTAGCTGGTAGCCTCGTCTGGCAGTCCTCTGTCCTTGGCCAACCCTGCCCCACTGCGGAGCTCTTGGGCGCCAGCAGGTCCTCTTCCCCCGCCCGCTCCCTCCCCGGGCTGGTCAGAGCCATATTTACAGTTCTTCTTGCTGGGTTCAGAGGTCAATTCCGCTGAGGTGGCGAGAGGAAGATCAGCAGCGACGAGCTGTCTGCACAAAAGGTCCCTGCGTCAGATACAGAACCCAGCAAAAGCAAAGCAAAGCCAAGCCACCCACCAGACATAGACGAGATATGTCTTTGACCGTCCCTTGCCCACTTTTTGTCTGTCATGGACCCCAGGCCTCCGGCTTCCAGCACCAACTGTCCAGCTTCCTGAATGGACACACAGGAATAATCTTTCGCATTTCTTTTCAATGTGGCGCCTTGTCACATTATCGAGACGTTTCAAATGGACTTCAAATGGAATACACTGTACAATGAAGCGACTGTGTATTTTGTGGGCAAAAAGACAGCTGATTGGACACAACCATTCCCTTGCGAACTCCGTTAGCGCTGGAAACGTTCGCAGGTGACCCGCACTCCGCAAGCAGGAGCACAAAGCAGGAAGTGAAGCTGGTCGTGGGGCAGGCGGCCGTTTTTAATTTTGCGTAACTGACCGATATTTTTATTTCACAAACCTGTTATAACTCGGGATGGGGGGGTGGTGATGGTTTGGTTCAGAGATTTAACATAATATGGGACCTGAAACATTGGGTTATGAACGAGGATGAACTCTACACAAAGTCACTTGTGTGTAGGGAGGCGGATTGGAGTCAGTGTTAAACCCCTCCATTGTCAGAACATAGATTCACATGATTGACTTCAGCGAAAGCAAAAGTGATCTGCACATAGCGCTCTCTCTCTCTCTCTCTCTCTCTCAAGAAACATCAATTGCACTTAAATTGGCATTTGGCACAAGTCTAACCGTTTGACTGGTTTGTCTTCCACCAGGTAGTCACCAATCACTGAACCCCTCTTCAACAAGACCTTTTTGCTGGGGGTCATCTGGAACAAAATGCAGATACAGTTAATTCAATCTGGTCTGTAAAGCAAAGGGAAATAATAATAATGATCACTGCACTTGATATGGCGCCTTATTACATCTTCGAGACGCCTCAAAGCGCTTCACAGATTATACTGTAAAGTGAATTGACTGTGTAATTTGTGGGCGGAACGCGGCAGCCAATTGCGCACAGCAGCGTCCCCACATCAGCCTTGGGTTGAGCGACCAAATTATTATTACTTTGAAGGAATTATTCCCCCCAGAAAAGACCTTAAAACACATTTATTCCCTCCCTCCTTCCTCTCATTCACATTCAACAAAGCCACACACAGGAACATGGATTTTCCAGAAAACGATTTTCCAGGCAGGATGAATCGATTCAGGCTCAAGTCCCTTCCGACCCATTTCAGCCTCGGTAATAATAATTATAATCCTCGAATTTGATACCTCATCACATCATTGAGATGTCTCGAAGCGCTTCACAGAAATATAGTGCAAAGTGAATTGAATTGACTGTGTGTTTTGTGGTCGAAGCTCTCAAGTTCGAGGACTGTCTGTTCTGTTCCCACTTAAATAACTCTTTCTAAAAGAGTTCCGTTGCCCTGCAAAGGTGGAACTTTCCCATCATTGGGTATCCAAAGTCAGCACCCAGTGATGGTTAGGTGTAAAGTAAACCTCCCCATCACTCTGCCTTACGAAAGCATGAGTGACTGTATCAGTGGAACATTTTCTAGAATTCAATCAGGTTTGGAAAATGTCTTCGCAACAGTTCACAGATCAACATTGTGCAAGACCATGAGCCTTCCGTTCCTCTCCCCTTTCTGACTGGAAATAATGGGACCGCGGTTGCAAAAGTCAGAGTGACCTACAGGTAAATATAAGGATTTACTGCCCTGGGCACCCTGCCAGTCTTTAATCTCAACTCCCAACTCGATTCGGGCTCCTCACCCTGAGACAATACAAAATTACATTTGCACAGCACCTTTCACGTCGGGAGGATATCCCAAGCCTCTGAACAGTCATGGATTTGGACCCAAACAGGGGGTGTTGGGAGGGTGGAGGGCAGGTATGGTTAGGGTAGGAGGGTGGCCGAAGGCGCTGTTGAAGTGAAGGGTCTTGAGACGTACCTTGAAGGAGGGAGTGAGGCGAAGGGACTGTGGGATGGAGTGCCAAAGGGTGGGGGCAGAGAGGCTGAAGGCCTAACTGCCAATGGTGGCAATATTCGAGTTAATCGCACACTAACTGCATTGCAATGATTAATTTATCAATTGATAACTAATCTTTCAGATTTATGCAGACTTATGCGTGCGCACACACGCAATCTCATGTGGTGTGAAATGCCAATTGAATAATACAAGCTTTAAAACAGTAGCAAATCCAGGACTGAGTTTAGCACTGCCGGGGTGGGGGAGGATCAACTTTTTCCCTATATTGAGAACATCTAAACTATTCAATTGGATTACAGTCTACAGGTATCCATCAGTCTTGCCTCAGTCTTTAAACGTCATCGAAAAAAACCTACCTCTTCAACCATGCCTATGGTCACCTCCTCCGTCACCTCCCCCTTTCCACCGTCCCCTGCTTTCTCCCTTCCGCTGCATCCCACCCCACCAATATGAAGTGCTCTGAGATGTTATCCTATATAAAGGCGCTGTATAAATGCAAGTTATTCTGTGAGCAGATCAAGGCAAAGGAATGTTACATAAAAGCTTGTAAATCTCCCAGGCATCACTGCTCTTCAACCTCATTTATGTTTCCTATTGGTATCCCAAACCCTGTTTATAGACCATATAGCAATAAGGGTAGGCGTCCAAATATTTAAAGGGCTTGTGAAGATTAATAATTGAATCAGTTCAGCCGGGTTGATTTTATAGCACCATACACTCTGAGACTCTGAAGGTTAAGCTCTGGCTTTAGAATAATCTTCTCGGCTCGGGATGCCGCCCTTATGGAGCACTTCCTTACTGCTCAGAGCTTGCTGACTAGGCAAACAAATTCAGAATAAATTCTTTGTCACCTTAAAAAAAAATGACATAGAGCTATACGGCACAGAAACAGGCTCATTCAATCCATCTTGTCCATGCTTGTACATCACACGAGCCTCAACTCTTCTATTCCCCTCTCCTACGCCCTTCTATTCACCTCCACTTTCATACACGCATCAAGTTTCCTCTTAAATGTATTGATGCTTTTTACTTGAACCATAGCATCTAGGAGTGAGTTCCACACTCTCACCATCCTCTGCATGAAGTAGTTCCTTCTAAACTCCCTATTAAATCTGCAACTGGCGGCCTTGTATTTACGTGGAAACGGCCTAACCAGTCTTCACCTTACCGAATCCTTTCATAATCTTATTTACAAGGTCCAGAGAGTATAGGGGTTTCCCTTAGAAAAAAGTCTGTACAAATCAACACTCATTTATAAGAATGTCATTGGTAATGCATTGCATTTTAGTGCATTCCTTCACCTTAGCGTATAATCAAAAGTCTAAAAAAAAACAAGGATTCTAATAAAGTTTAAATAAATATTACAATTTATTTCAGTTAAAAATATTATTTTACACTTGGTTGGAGTACATAATTTACGTTTAATCATATTTGATTGCAAATTAATTTAGCACAGTTAAATGAAATCAAACGATCTTTCTTCACCTGTGCATTTATTATTAACAATAATCCTTGCATTTGATAGCAGCTTTCATGTCGGCAAAACATCTCAAAGCACTTTGCTTCACAAGATTACATTGTAGTGACTATGCTTTTTACATGCACAGTTCCTACAATAAAATCTTGTGAAATTTTGTTCTAAATGCCATGGGTGATGGTGGGGGGGAGAAAGAAAGAGGTTAAGGAATGGGCAGAACAATATGCCTCAATCGCTCCATCTTGTCCCCTCTTTGCCAATCTTCAGATCTGAAGACTTTCCTCACTTCCCCTTTCTCCCCAGCTCGGCGTCAAACCATGCCACTGTACAGCACCCCAGGACTCTACCCCCACAGCACCGCCCCCTCGTTATAGGGTGCTTTATAAATGCAATGTTGTTGGACATTGATAAAGATTGTTGCTGTGAAAGAACTTAATAATCCTTGCATTTGATATTGCTCCTTATCACATCTTCGAGACATCTCAAAACTGACTGACTGACTGACTAACTAACTCACAACAAATGACACTTGTATAGCGCCCTTCATGTTGGAAAGACGTCCCTAAACTAAACGAAGAGCCGTTGGTATCCAATCTGAAGCTTTCTCTATTCTGAAGATGGAGAGCAGCTTCAAGCCTGTTCCTCCTGCCTCCCTCCCGCCCACCACTGCTCTTTCCAAAGGAAAGTCGCCCCTTCAGCTAATCTACCCCTGCTTGTGTCCTGCGCTTTGAACCCCATCAGCACCGAGACAAAATGAGCTAACGCGTGCGTGCGTGCGTGTGTGTATAAAACAAATGGTCTCACGCTCTATGTGTCTCTGTGCTCACAAGGATCACACAATGCTGATCTGCGCTGGGCTGCTATGGTTTACACTGTGTCCAGGGAACATAATGTGGGACCACAGGGATGCGATGGCCACAACAGCAGCTGCGGGCAGGTTTGTGTATCGGAACTCGCTTTTTGAGACTAACCAGCTTCCTGGCTTCGAACGCGTCCCTCTCATCTCGCAGCTTCTTGTTCATCTCCCTGAGCAAAGAAGGAAAGTAAGAACGAACAAATGGAACACATCAGCCTCTTGGTACACAGCGAAGTCCCACAAAAAGCTAGCAAGTGCAGGATAGCTTGATCTGCAGCTCTGTTAGCCAGGACATTCTCTTTCCGAAGAGGGGATAGGACCTCGGTTTTAACGTCTCATCCATAAAAATCCACCGCTGACAAAACAGCTGCCTATGCAGCCCTCCGACACCCCCGCCCCCCCCCCCCCGAACCTGCAATGGACTGTCAGCCTAGAAAATAGGCTCAAGTCTAGATCTAGGGGTTAGAACCCACAACCTTCTGACCCAGAGGGGAGAGTGGTACAAAATCAGAGCTGAGCTAATCAAAAGGGTCATGTCACAGTCCGAGATACCGATCAGTGGGTGATTGAGTGAAATGCACCCTTGCGTTGTGCGGTCAGTTGCATCAAGTAAACGTGAATGAACATTGATCAAATCCTCCTTATTGAACAGCCACTGGAGCAAATTTTTTAAAAAAAATCCACATCAGCTCTGCAAGCTATGGATTAATCGTCTACAGCTCCATTATACTGCTGAGCTGCAAGGCTTTGATGCTCTTGCAATTAATGAGGAAATCCGAACAAAGGCCGCTATGTTATTGCCTGGCACTTGCAGAGTTTATTTCACCAAACTGTTAATATTCACTTAAAGCCTGTTCTCCTCCCTGCACACGCACTCACACGCGCACGCATACACTAATTCTCTTTCTACAGGTTAATCTCCAGCAGTTACCCCAATGCAGCTCTGGTATCCCTCAAGCCTTGGCTCTCGCCAACCCAAGCATAAGGCTCTGACAGATGTAAAGGCTAAGCTTGTGGATAGTGGGATATGAATCAATGGATCGCAAGGACTTTGGGCTGTTGGTCAAAGGGTCATAAAGTTTCAATCCATGCATGGAAAACAAAATCTGGTAATTACCTGAGAAGTTCCAGCTGCCTCAAGAGACTCTCTTTCTCCTTCTGCATGTTCTTCGACACCTTCAGAACATCTCTGTGGCAGACAAAGACTCCTTTTTAGTGGCTCAAACAGTCCACGTCCGTAGCAACAACTTGCATTCATATACAACAGCAACAAAATTACATTTATAAAGCACCTTTCACGACAGGAGGACATCCCAAGGTGCTGAACAGTCGGGGATCAGTAGCATCCTTTGGTTTTGGAGTTATTTTATAGTGACAGGGTTGAATACTTCTGTGCAGATCATTGCTGTGGAATCTAATCAACTGGGCTGCTTTGGCTTGTAGCTGTAAAGGATTGTAGATCAGCAAGACTATGGAATTCTTTTGCCCGAGCTTTGGTGACTTCCCAAGATGGCCAATGTTACCCTGGACCTCAGCAGGGATTGAAGGCAGGTCAATCGTTCACAATGCTAATTGATGGCATTCGGTGAGGTTTAAAAAAAAAGTCTACCTGGCCTTCTGATGATGTTCGTGCTCAATCTCCTTTGAAGAATGCGGAGGTTGGTGTGAGCGGCCTCCAGCTCCTGCCTTGACCTGTCCAGCTGGTCCTGGAGGTCTTCGTTCACGTGCCTCAGTTGCTCGTTCTGCATCCTGGTCTCAGCTTGTTCATAGTTCAGGTCCTTGATCTGATTTTCCAACTGCAGGTCACAGCAGAATAATCAATCAATCAATCCATCAATCAATAATTAAATAATAATTAAATAATAATCCTTGCATTTGATACAGCGCCTTATCACGTCTTCAAGACGTCTCAAAGCTCTTCACAGAATATACTGTAAAGAGAATTGACTGTATATTTAGTTGGCAAAACGCAGCAGCCAATTACACACAGCAGCGTCCCACAAACAGTCGTGGATTAAGTGACCAAATTATCATTTTAAAGATTTTTTTTTGAAGGGTTTATTACCCCCGGTAAAGCGATCCACCAATCAACTAACAACTGAGTTCCTAGTAACTGCTAGGATAGAACAATTTAGAGTTATAATTCATTTAACAAAATAAGAACATTTTTGTCCATCCAATCGTTTCCTTTTAATAATGAGTATCCCACCACCACCCCTCAAAAAAAACCCTACAAATATACGTTATTTTCCCTCTCTCCATCATCCCACAAGTTTCTTTCCTTCAACAATCTGGGCTGATCTACTCTCCCACCTTTAAGATAATAAGAAGCTCGGAAGACAAATGTGTATTTAAAAGAAGAGGGCAGTAGGTCTATTCATTACTCGGTAAATATTTACTAAGTGCAGCTTCAGCTGAATGTTAGTCTCCATGGAGACATTCGCCCACTCATTCCCTCGCTCGCTTGCTCTCTGCCAAGGCTGGTGCTTCTTGTCTGAGTAGGTCAGGGTTCCCCTTACAATGGTCTGAGGGCTACTGGGCTGTGACAGATGAGAATGGAGAGCCCACCTGCCCCCTCCAGGCTTCTCACACAACGTGTTAACCACCAGGCGATGGAATTGTTTGCTTTGAGGGGAATCTTTCCTTGATAATAATCCTTGCATTTGATGCAACTCCTTATGGCGCCTTTGAGGAGTCTCAAAGCGCTTCACAGTCTGTACTGTAAAGTGAATTGACTGTATGTTTTGTGGGCAAAGCGGGCTCGAAGGGCAATTCATTCGGGGAGGGAATCAGGCGGTTGGGGGGAGGGCGGGTGGATGGGTGGGGGGGGTGGAAGAGAAGGGAGAAAGTACCTTGGAGATTTTTTTGTAAAAGCCCAATTCACCTGTCTCAGTTGATCTTTTTTAAATTTAGGCACAAACTATAGACGTCTAAGTAACAGTAAGAGGCCACTCGAACCATTCTATCCTGTGACACTCTTTACGATGTGGTAAGGCGCCACCACAAATGCAAGGAATATTATTATTATTTTTATTAATATGTAGTATTGCAAACATACCTTTCTGTGTCTCTGAATGATGTTCTCCAGGTCCTGCTCTTTGTTTTTGAGCTCGCGCTTCAGATGATGATTCCAGCCACTGTGTTTGGACATATCCTGGAGGAACACACCATCATCTCAGCATCAAGCAGCACGATGGGGTGGGGAGAGCGACTTATACACACTGCCTCTCTCCACTCACAGCCACTCCTGCTACTCAGTGTATCAGCTTGGTGTCTGTGTGTCAGCCTGGCTCAGTTGTTAGCACTCTCGTCTCCAAGTCAGAAGGTTGTGGGTTCAAGCTCCACATTGGGACTTGGACTCGCATAATCTAAGCTGACACTCCATGTGAATGGCCTTGTTTGACCATAAATACATAGAATTATTACCCTGGAAAAGCAATCCGCCAATCGACTAACAACCGGGTTCCTACTTACTACTAGGTAAACAGAGGCGTGTGGAGTAAGGAAACTTGCTCAATGTTTCACCCTGCCCGGGAATCAAACCCAGGTCCCCTACCCATCAAGGCTTTGCCAATTTGAAATCAATGTGGCTTGAGGCCAGCTGGCACAACTCACCCCAGAGGTAAACTGTTTTAAGATATACCACGTCTGTGATCAATACTGCATGGTTTGTCTTTGTGGAGTTTCTGTCTGTTATGCACATTACACATTGATTTTGGAAAAGGTTCCCATCTCCCAAAAAACATCCACTGGGCAATTATTTACACTGGGAGGAGGTGGGGGGGTGGGGGCTAACTTGCAATGTTTACTAAAAAGGATGGGAAGTGTTAACTGGAGCTTCCACTTCTCCATCTAATGTGCAAAGCGGTTCTCGGCGATTTCTGAAACCAGTCGGAATGTGAAAGGTTGGAGATATTTGGGCTTTTTTTTTGCAGCGAACAGCACCAATTAGGCAGTGAATTTAATGGAAAATTGCGGTTATAGGAACATAGGAAAACAGGAGCAGGTCATTCAGCCCATCCAGCCTGTTCCAATAATTCTTGGCGTCTTGCCGATTGATAAGACGATATGAAATGCAAAGATTTTATTATTACTATACACTCTTGATAACTCGCCGGGTGCAGTTTGTGTGAGGCAGGAGAATAGAGGTCCCCGTCTGTCCGTTCTCATTAATCTCAAACAGTAAATGACACCTCGTCACGTCCGGGGGGTAAAAAAAATGAGACATTAGCAGGTATTTAATTCCAAGAAACTGTTTAGCACACTTCCAATCTCTCTTTATTTTACAGCCATTCAAACGATGAGACCTTAATCCCATCAGTCTAGTGCTGTGCCAAAACCAGGCTTAAGAGTCTGATCCCAATGTCTACTGAAGGCTGGAGGCACCAAAGCCTTGATTGGAGTGATGATAATAATAATAATCCTTGCATTTGATATAGCGCCTTATCGTGCCTTCCAGATATCGCTTCACAGAATATACTGCAAAATGAATTGACTGCATATTTTATACAGAATCTTAATCTTCGGAATTAATCAATCAGTTACCTGACTCAGAAGCTTCTCCTTTTCTCTCTTAATCTGTTGTTCCATTTCTTCATACAGACCCTGCACCTCTCGGTCATGGTCGCTCTCCCTCCTGCACCCAATCCATCAATCAATCAATCAATCAAAATAATCTATCACAATAATCATAATAAACCTCACATTTTGAAATTGAACCATATCACGTCATTGATGCACCTCAAAGCACTTCTCAGTGTAGTGGGTAAAGTGTAGTGACTAGTGACTGTGTATAGGCGAAAACTCCTTCTTCTTGGCTAACACTGGCCTGCATCACATCGCGCCCACCAACCCAACCCGCCCACCCCTTCCTCCCTCCCACCCACAGCCGATTCACTGCACCATGGGGCGGACCAGCTTTCAGCCATTCTACCCCCCCCCCCCCGCACTCTGACCTCCATCATGGAGTCTCTCCACCTCACTGCTTTAAAGCCCGCTTCAAACCCCATCCTTTTGACCGCACTCTCAGCCACCTTTCCCCACCATCCTCAGCTCCCTCCCCACAGCTCAGGCTCCCAGTCTGCTGTGCAAATCTACTCCGAGACATACTTGTGACCATATAAAATGTACGGTTGCTGAGGTTACCGTTTCAGGGCCTGCTCTATGCTCTCTCGGTCCTGTTGGAACTCAAGGATGCGAAAGGAAACTTTGGACAAGAACTCTTCGAAGTTTGCCAGTAATTCCGGCCGATCTCTCCGCAATCTGGTCCACAGCTGCCGTACTTCGCTCTGGCTAGGAACGGAGACAAGAGGTTTATTAATTTTATTTATTTTGTGGGTTGGGAGGGGCTGCGAAATCAAGAATGAGACAAAGACCTTATGCCTTATTCATAAAACAAATTGAAACCCAAAGGCTAGACACTTAATAACAAGTTAATTAACTCCTTCTGTGGGACAGTAATACTCATGTGTTTCTCCCACAAAATATTCATTCACTACACTGTATATTCTGTGAAGCACTTGGAAACGTCTCGAAGATGTGATTAAGGCAAGGATCAAATGCAAGGATTATTATTATTATAGTCCATTGAGCTTGTTCAGTTATATGGTTACATCACGTCAGATCTCTTAAACCAATTTCCCTTTGCCTTTCCCCCATGTGATTCTATGAGGACAAGTTTGCAGGGCTATGGGGAGAGCGTGGGATTGATTTGAATAGCTCTTTTCAAAGAGCCAATGGGCCAAATGGCCTCCTTCTGTAATAATAATATTCCTTGCATTTGACATAATAATAATAATAATCCTTGCATTTGATATAGCGCTTTTCACGTCTTCTAGACGTCTCAAAGCGCTTCACAGAATATACTGTAAAGTGAATTGACTGTATATTTGTGGGCGAAACTGTATTCCTTCACAAGTATCTAGATGTCTAAACATTCCAATGGATTCAGCATCTTCTCAGCCTGTTTACTTGACCCAACGTATGGTGTTAACTTGACATTGCAATTCTGGCCGACAGGTAAAATCGTTCACTCTCTATATGGCTGTTTGTGGCACGTTGCTGTGTACAAACTGACTGCCCACAAAAACATGCAGTCACTGCAATTTACAGTGTATCCTGTGAAGCACTTTGAGACGTTCTCCCAATGTAAAAGGCACTATACAAAAAATAACAGCAAATTGCATTTATATGGTGCCTTTCACGTTGGAGGATGTCCCAAGACGCTGGACAATGAGGGGTTTGCACCCAAGCTGGGAATCAGAGAGGGTGCAAATAATAATAAATAATAATAATCTTTGCATTTGATATAATGCCTTATCACGTCTTTGAGACGTCTGAAAGCGCTTCACAGAATATACTGTAAAGTGAATTGACTGTGTATTTTGTGGGCGAATGTAAATGAATAAAGAAAAATAAGTGTAAGTGTAATTACCAAATGTAAGGACCATCATATTATTATTATTCTCTCATTTCAGTACAATAGAAATAAACACGTATTGTTAATAGAAATAAATACTTATGTGACATTGAATCTGCCTCTAGGTCAAAGCTACACAGCTCTTCACAGCCAATTTGAATTGAAGGATGCAAATTCATTGGAATCTTTCTACATCGAGTCCAGGTGCACCTTATTGCATAACTAACCTTGGGATGTCCTCCTGACGTGAAAGGCTCTATATAAATGCAATTTGCTGTTGTTTGTTATATAGCGCCTTTTATGTTGGGAGGATGTCTCAAAGTGCTTCACAGGATGTGCTGTAAATTGAATTTTCGAGTCATGCCTACAATAGCAATACAGAATCCTTACACTTGATGTGGAGAGTTCCATGTCGGGTGGATATCTTAAAGGTATTCACAGGATACACTGGAAAGTGTAGTGACTGTATTTTGTAAGGCAAACAAACTGGAGTGCCTGCCTAGGCTATGACTAGAACACAATCTCGACTGGTGCATCAAGAGGGTAATGAAGGCAAAGGGAGAGAAGTCAGAGAGCAAAAATCCTACTCAAGGTGCGGACACTCGCTGCTATGCTGGGGCAAGGGAATGAGTATTTTGTCTTAACATTGGAAAATAGCCCTCATGTAAACATAGGCTTGGCAGCGCTCTGAACTAGTGCAATAAGCTGTCCTCTGATGACACTATGTCCTGATTGAGAAGGAACACGCAACGTGAGGCATACAAAACCACCAGGTGTCTGCAATGCAGCAACCATGTCATGAATTGTGCACAAAGGTTTGACCTTGGGAGCTAAGGGACAAGTGTGACCACAATGCTACTAACTTTCTAAAGTAAAGGGCGAAATGTTGGTCAAGCTTCCTTACTCCACGCGCCTCTATTTACCAGCAGCAAGTAGGAACCCGGTTGTTAGTCGATTGGCGGATCACGTTCCAGGGGGTAATAATCCCTCCAAAAAATAATAAATAATAATTTGGTCACTCAATCCACGACTGTCTGTGGGACACTGTTGGACGCAATTGGCTGTTGCGTTTTGCCCACAAAATATACAGTCAATTAACTTTACAGTTAATTCTGTGAAGAGCTTTGAGATGACTCGAAGACATGATAAGGCGTCATATCAAACTATTATTATCACTCACTCTTTAAACACCTGCGAGGCTCCCAGGTGCTGCATCATGGAACAGAATCGGTCCTCTTCCTCGTCGTCCATCATGTCCAGGTCATCTGACTCGAACGTTTCCTCGTAGCTGGAGTTCTCCAGGCTCCCCCGCTCTGTAACGATCTCAACTCCGATGTACTGACCTGAGAAGAGACAACGTGACAGGCTACTCTCCACCGCGAGGAGAAGGACAGGAGATCGCCGGAGAGGTTCGTGTTTGTGCGACTCCAAGTTATGACCAAGTTTAATCCTCCAACCACTCCCCAGGCTTTACCTGGGAACATTTTTTTTTAATCTAAGGCAGATTCCTATCTAGAGCTAAGAGTAATACTGTACGTGATGCTTATATATATATAGGGTAATATCCCACTGTGTGTTCCTCTAGCGAGTCCATAGTATTATATCAAAGTATTAAAGAGGGTCGCAGCCAGTTTTTATTTGGAAACTTAAGTGCTCCAAGACCCCGTCCAGCGTGACAGGCGCTTTCTAAACTCAAGATGTTGTTGAAGAAACTTGTCCAGAGCCTTTGCTCCTCTGAACCACGGGGTTTATGCTCGTAGATTGGCTTAGTGCCATTGTCTCAGGTACGGCGAGGTCACACAGGTGGAAGGACGGACGGCCACCTCTCCCGCCCTCAGAACTCGTGTCACGGGATTTCCTGACGCACGACACCGCTCTGAGACGTACCCAGCCCCTGGCTGAATTCCACCGGCGTCAGGTAGCCGTTCCTGTCCTGGTCCAGGCTGTCAAACACCGCTTCCAACTGATCCGGGGTCAGGGGCAACTCATTCTGCAGCCTCTGCAACAACCCAAAGGGAAAGGTCAGAGTTACAACAGCTTCCAGCAACTGGGTGGGGGGGCGCGGAGAAAGAGGTTGGAGTTGGGATTAGGTAATAAGAATAACACTTGCATTTGACACAGGGCCTTTTATGTCAAGCTGACATCTTGAAACGCTTCACTGGATTTTCTGTAAAGTGTAGTGTCTGTGTCGTTTTGTAGGCGAACGCAGCAGGGGCTAATTTGCACACAGCAACGTCACCCACAAATATCCAGAGGGGAACGATCTGAGGGGATTGTCGGCCAGGACACTGGGAGAGACACGCCCAATAGTTGCTGAACAAGCTGAAGGCCAATTTCAGGACAGACTCCAGGAGGTATTTCTTTACTTAGAAGGTAATCGGTAAAGCTCTCTGAGATGCTCCCCTGCGTGAGAGCCGCTATATAAATGCAAGTTGTTGTTGTTGTTGTAATTAACGCCCGGAACAGGTTGAGGTCAGCAAACTGAACTTATTTAAGAAATAGCTCGATGCTGTGATGGGTAGGCCTGATATTAAGGAGAGACAAAATCAAATGGGCCAAAAGGTCTTCTACATCTGAACTCAGCTTGTGATGAGCCATTCCTCTCAAGGGAGGGGAAGCGTAGGAAACTGATGGGGTCGTGGTGGGAGTGGTGGGGGGGGAGGGTTGTAAGCAATATCGCTCTAAAACTGACAAGCTCGAAGAGGGTTAGTTCAACAACAGCTACGTTTTGTAAGGCTGTTGTGTAGAAGGTAGACAGACAGACAGAGAGACAGAGAGACAGACAGACAGACGTTGAGGAAACAAGAACACGCTTCCAAAAAACACACACACAAGCTGCACAATAGACGAGCAAATAGCCACAAGGCTTGCCAGGAAACCCCTTTTATTCACGTTAGTTTCCAAGTTAAATGAACAATAACTTCACGGTAATGACTTCCTACATGATTTTTTAAAAAAATATATATGTATAACATGGTTTCCTCTGGTTGGCAGAGGAATGAACCGAAACATCCTCACAATAACTTTACCCCACCTCAAAAAAAGAAGCTGAGATCAAAGGAGTTGAAAACCTGCTAAACAGTACGAGTTGTGATAGGATAACATAACATAACATGTAGGAGCAGGAGGAGGCCATTCGGCCCTTCAAGCCTGTCCCGCCATTCAATCATGGCTGATCTTCTAATCTAACTCCAGCTAATACCATAACCCTACCTTATCCCCATATCCCTTAATCCCTTTTGCAATAAGAAATATATCTATCTCAGTCTTGAATATGTTCAAGGACAGCCCTTTGGGGTAGTGAGTTCAAATGGATGTCGCTAAGAGACAACAAAGACTGTACAGCACGGAAAAGAGTCACTCGGCCCAACTAGTCTGTGCCGGTGTTTATACTCCCTAAGAGACTGTGCCTATTCCTTACTGCCTTGCGTATCCGTCGATTCCCCAACATACACAGAGCTGAGCCCCGTTTTAACAAGAGAGTTGGGTCCAGAAAATACCAGCCAGCGTCATAGGCATCACACACGTCCGCAGAAAGGTGGCCGGCTTCCCTCGCTTGAAAAAAAAAGAAATGACTTCCAGATCAACGGGTCACTCGCAACATCTCTTCCCGTCACACGCTCAGAGCCAGGAAGTGACCCAGAAGTCGTCCTTTTTTTTATATAAGTGGTCGGTGTCTTGAAAGGTTCAGGGAAATGTCACCTCGATCACGGTATAAGAGAAATCGGGTTATAACCGGGTTCCACCGTACATCAGTGAATAGTATTATTATTATTAGCTCCGGATTAAGCACTTTGGAGTCCGTTGAGGAGTATTAGCTTGCAAGCCCTTAATCTAGGAATTGTTCCTGGGAGAGGCTGTTTAACTGAAGGAAGTATTCGGAAGTCGCTTGCGTTCAAACAGTCTGTCACATCTGTGAGCTGGAGAGCAGGACATTCATTCCTGGTTCCCAGCGGGTCCCTTAAGCCTTTATAAAAACAAACTTGCAGCAGCTGGGAGGCTGAAAGTCTCTGAAGCATTTAAACATTTCCCCGTTCGGCTTCAGAGGCAGAACGTTGCTCAAGTCCCGAATCTGCGCAGCGAGTGGCTTCTTTCATTATTGTACATTATTATTAATGAAATCCACAGGGAGGCAGAGTGAGGTGTGGGGGGGATGGGAACAAACTGAGAGAGCAAATGCAATGCAAATGCAAAGACTAGCAACCCCTCCCCCCTCCCCCCCCAAAAAAAGGAGAGGTGTTGTTCTCCGTGGCTACAACAAGACCAACTTGCATTTATATATTGGCCCTCACGCAGGGTAGTGTGTCCCAGAGAGCTTGACAGTGGCTGAGCCTGACACTGAGTTGACCGTAGCCACCGTCAAAGAGGAAGGTCTTTAGGCCCGACCTGAAGATGGGGAAGGAAGGAGCAAGGCGGAGAGAGATGGAGGAAGAGTGTTCCAGAGTTTTGGGGTGTAGTGGCCACCGCCTCAGAGACAAACACATCACAGTAACTAACGATCCCCAGACCCGGTTGCTCGAGGTTACCTGCATGTCCCGCTTGGTGATGAAGCCGTTTCCCTCTTTGTCACACAATTGGAAGAGTTCCCGAGCTTTCTCCAGCATCTGGTGCCGAGCCTCGTTGCCCGACTCCGTGTTTGCCCCGGCTGCGGCGTTCCCGGTCGCCCCCACATCCTGCACGCCCCAGGGGCTGGCCAACGTGCGCCTCCTGCTGGCCATTCCGCCTCTGTATCTCGCTCTGTCTCTCGCCACGGACCCCAGCGTGCGCTGTGAGGAGCAACAACGAGTGTGAGCTAGCGAGCGAGCGTGTGTGTGTGTGTGCGCATCACTGAGGTTTGTGAGATGAGGCACCATCGCTTAGCAACAGCTCACTAACGACTCTCCGACAAACGCAGTCATTGAGCGTCAGGCCGAAAGGTCCAGCCGGAATGAACGGGAAGAACAAGGGACGGCAACGCAGGTTGTACAGACACATCAGCTTTGACAGACAGGGGATGCACAATCCAGGTGGTTCACAAAGTCCTGTTACTCCCCCACCCACCCACCCACTTTTTTTTCTTCTTCTTACAATTAATTTTTATTTCCTATTGCAGTTGAGTCGACCGTAACAATGTCTTGATACCAGTAACTTCCTCCTCGCTGACTCCATCCACTTCACGCAAGATGTGGCCCTGAAAATGATGGTGCTCACACTCACACACACTCACGCGCACTCACGCTGATCCTCTGGACGTCTCAGTGCAGTTAAAACACCGAATTCAATGAAGCACTTCTAAACGCATTGCTCATCATTCTCGCACATGTTTCAGTTGTTGGTCAGTGCATTCCAGACAAAAAAAACAACGCATGGGGGTTAACAGGACTTTGGGAACACCCTCTTAGATGGAAGTTCAGGGTTAGGTTAGTTGAGTTTCGCTGACGTGGCTGGTGTTCTGATCTGCCTGGTTGCCTCCTGCTCTGTGAGAATGCGCCCATCAGGGGCACAGAGCTCAGAGCAAACCTGTTAATGAATAGCACGATCATGAGAAGAACACCAGCCTCAACACAAGCGACGGCTGTTTATATTGTGTGGGAAGTCCAAATATTTCTTGGGGTGGTGGGCGGGGGGGCGGTTTCCAGAAAAGCGAACGATGTGCATTAAAAAAAAGTTGGAAGGACCCTTGGGGATACGTGAATAGCTGCTGCACCCTCACTGGGCAAGGGTGGGTGGGGGGTGGGGAGTGAGAAAGAGAGGGATAGAGTGAGAGAGAGAGAGAGAGAGAGAGAGGGAAAGGGTTGGGATGTCAAAAGACAAATATTTGGTTGCAACTGCAAGCTAACAGTCCGCATCCTTGTGCTGGTGTTGTGAGGGGCCAAAGGTTCTTGTAATTAAGGGCAGGAACAAACAGTGATAACTCAACTCATTGGGTTTTCAGGAATTGGATGAATTCCTCAGCTGAGTGAGGAGCGTTGGTTAAATAGAGGTCACTGAAACCCAGCCAACACTCTATCCCACCTGGGACCGTCATGACCTTACTTCCAAAATTGGCAATCCGTGATGACTTGCCCATGAAATACACAGTCACTCCACTTTACAGTATATTCTGCGAAGCCCTTTGAGATGTCTCAATGACATAAGGGGCTATATCAAATGCAACAATTATTATAATACAAGGTGCTCTCATTCTCCTCCACGCACTTCCAACACACACACACAAGGACTTCTGGGCAGGTTGCCTTTACCTGCTCAATCTTTCAGCGATTAGATAACCCTCGGCTGAATTAGATAACCCTCGAGCCTCTTGCATTGACTTCCAGAGCACAACAGCAGCAGAACATGACTCACAACTACAGAAGTCGCTGTAGACGCAGCGGGTCAGACAGCATCCACGGAGAGAAGAAAAAAAGTTTCAGGTCTATCGCCAAAGGTTTTTGGTAGTAGACTTGAAACGTTCAAGTGATTGACCTGTTGTTTGTTCCAACGGGGACTTCTGTGTTTGGACCAGATTTGCAGTATCTGCAGTACTTTGCTGTTTTTTTTTATGACTTACAACTAACTCGCTGGCACACAGGGCACCTCTCTTAGTTCCTCCCCACTGAACATAACTACAATGGTGAGAGTACACAGCAGGAAGTGCTTTTAGGCTGCTTAAGATTTTAGTCTCTATGGAGTGTTTATTAAAATGAGGTGATAATTCAAGCTCCTGGTGTGTTGGATGTTACACAACTTTCACATCCGCTCAGTACCAGTTACAGTCACACACACACACATCTTACTTATATGCGCACGTAGGTCTCATTCACAAAGCTTCTCGACGGCCTATTGTATCGTTCACTTTTGGGCAGAATGTATGACATTTGGCATTATCTTAATTGTTACTAATTGGTCAACTCGTTACCAAGTGTCACCCTGGCATCTGCGATGGGGTCTCTCCGACACAGAAAGATAAGGTCAAATCATCTCCTACGGTGTCCAAGATTTCTGTGCTATTTTCCCCTCTCTTGCTATCTCCTTCTCTCCTGAAGTCAATGACCTGAGCCTAATAGGATTCTCTGCAGCTGTGATCCACTGGCACCACTCCCAATTGGCCACTCTCTGCCCGCAGGCCTTGGCACTGGATATCTGGGACCAAATCTGCTCATGTCCTTATCCAGCATAACCACACCTGCACCTTTTCCATAGGGGGGAGCGCGAGTGGTAGAGCACTTGGTGGACACAGATCAGGAGCCCTGGCCAATTCCATCTTCCCTACAAATATTGAACGTCCGTGACCTCCCTAAAACCTCACTTTAAATGGGCCGCATCGTTGGAATTCTCCTTCAGGGCCTTGGGAGGTCCTCCCAAGGCTTTATACAAGTGTAATCTTGTTGTTGTTTCTCTTTTACAATAGGGGAAATGTTCCCTCCCTCCTTCCCTCCACCTCTCTCTCTTCTGAAGGAGTCAGTGTCCTGGACCAAGTGCTTTGACACAAGTCACCACAGGGCTGTCGCTGTTTGCTATGGAGGAGTTTCTCCGTTCATTTTGTTTGAGAGCTGCGTTATCACTTCGCAGCTTCCCTAAAGAATAATATTGACCAGGCAAACAACGGTGACATGTGGGTTCATCATCCGTCTTGGAGAGGGGTTGCAGATACTGGAGGTCAGGGCCGCGGACTCCACGTAGGAACTTAAATTAGCTACAAAATACACAGTCGCTGGACAGTAAATCCCGTGAAACGCTTTGAAACATCCTCCCACCACCAGAGGGTCTGTATGAAATAGGAGTCAGGAGGCCGTGGATTCGGATCCCACTTCGGGACTCGAACCCGCAATGCTGACACTCCATTGCGGCGCTGGAGGGGGGGGGTTAAGTTTTTGGAGGCGCCGTCCTTCAGGTGACACGTTAAACCGAGGTCCCATCTGCCTGTTCGAGTGGATGTTAAACGATCCCGCGGCGCTATTTGAAAAGAGAAGGGAGTTTCTCTCTCTCCCGGTGTCCTGTCCCGGGTTAGTTAACGGTTAGAGTGGGGTGGTGGTGGCGGAGGGTTTCCAATTGCGCTGGGCTGTAAGAGGGGCATCCGTTACTGTTCTCCCCACCCCAACCCCACTTGAGAATGAACCTGCGCTGTGAGAACCTCTGTGTAACGTCAGTGTCAGTGTACAGGCCAGTGCTTTGGGATGTCCTCCTGACGTGAAAGGCGCTATCCAAATGGCCTGGGAGGAGTGGGGGGGGGAGGGGGGGGTGGGTGTTCCTCGCTCCAATACTGTTAAACTCACAATAAAACTTTCAAACTTTCAAAGCATTAAGACTGTGGAATTGGATCTCTATCAATCTGTAACTGATGCAAAGGTTGCATTTACAGCTTTCTTGGAACAATTGGTAATGATTGACCGACTGTTGGACTGACTGATAAAGCAATTCGGATGCTTTTGAACACGGAAATACTGCCTAAACACACACAGTTCCATTAACTGCCCACCTTTCCCAATCTTATTTTAAGTCACTTTACGCCTCCACCCTCCATTACTCAATCTCCAGCGACAGCTCGCCTGCGCTCTCCTACTCACTCCTACCTCCGCCACACCACCTTCTGCAAATAAACACCCAAAGCACGTGCCACTACAGCACCAAGTTGAAGCTATGATAAAATGGATTAAACCCTGTGGAGCCATTGCTTCCAATTGTCCATGATGGTCCAAGTGAAAAGACTTGGGTTCGATTCCCGATCAGGGCGAAATATTAGACAAGTTTCCCTACAGAACAACCCTCTGTTTACCTAGCAGTAAGTGGGAGCACAGTTGTTAGTCGATCGGCGGCTTGCATTTCCGGGAATAATAATTCCTTCCCCAAAAAATAGTAATAAAAATTGGTCACTCAATCTACGACTGTTTGTGGGGACGCTGCTGTGCACAATTGGCTGCCGCGTTTCGCCCACAAAATATACAGTCAATTCACTTTACAGTATATTCTGGGAAGCACTTTGAGATGTCGTGAAGACGTGTTAAGGTGCTATATCAAATGCAAGGATTATTATTATTATTAGGTTCGTGGAATGTTCGAGGAGTTTGGTTTGGATACTCTCGAGCAGAGTGATGGGGTTTCTGTGGGCATCTGATCATATTTTTAAAAACTCTCACAGATGAATTGATCAGTCACCTAATGGCAGTTTATGAGTCTTTGCTGCATTTGCCTATAAAAAAAGTCACTACACCTGACAGTAATTACCGTGAAACACTGAGACGTTTCATAGATACATAGAAACAGGAGTAGGCTGTTCAGCCCCTCGAGTCTGTTCCGCCAATTTATAAGATCGTGGTTGATCTGTACCTCAAGTCAGTTACCAGCCCTTGTCCCATATCCCTTAATATCCTGACCCAACAAATATCTATCTACCTCAGTCTTGAAAATGTCAATGGACTTATAAACACAAGCTCCTTTTTATAAAGTGAGGTGGGGGGAGGGGGCGCGGCGAAAACGTAGAGGGGTTCTGTTTGGCTACGCCTTTTAGCATTAAGTAGGCTTCAATAAAAACAGAATTACCAGCAGGTAATTGCACAGATGGGATTAGCAAAGACTGGAAGCTGTGGGGAGATGGAAATGCAATCAGAGGGAATAGCAATTTGAATTAAAATGAATAACAGCCGTTTGATACACTAGGGATTACCACAGAAGATGCATTCGTTTTCAGCCTGTCCGTCCCTACCCCATCACAGGCAGCCCGGGAGCACCATCAACCAAGAATTCCGCCCGCTGCTATCCATTAAAAGTCTCCCGGTGAGATGCTTTTATTTTTGCCTTCCGCAGGGTTTTGATCAACCTTGATGCAGTTGGTGATAGAGTGAGGGGAAGCACTTTTTTTTTTAAATAAATAATCCTTGCATTTGACGTACCGCCTTATCTCGTCGTTGAGACGTCTCAAAGCGCTACGCAGGATACACTGTAAAGTGAATTGACTGTGAATTTTGCGGGCGAAACCCAGCAGCCAATTGCGCACAGCAGCGTCCCCACAAACAGCAATGCAGTGAGTGACCAATTTTATTCAGGGGGATTGTTGGCCAAGACACTGAGTGAGAGAAACTGCCTTTTCTTTTTGAATAGACCTGCGGGATCTTTAAGAGATTCCGTCCGTCCATCCGAACAGTTCTCATCTGAAGGACGGCACCTCCAGCAATGCAACACATCCCCAGTGCTGCACTGGAGTGTCCGCTTAGATCCCAAGTGGGGCTTGAATCCAACAACCTTCTGAATGAGAAGCACGAGCGCTCCGTTTGAAATAACGGGAGCAGTTCTTGGCTCAGTTTGGCAATCCATTTGAACTCCGGTTTCTACACGGGAATGAAAAGCTTTAGTTGTGTGTCAGTCTGGCTCAGTGCTAGGCTCACTGACAGCTGGAGGACATCCTTCCGACATGAAAGGCGTTGTTGTATCAATGTAATTTTGTTATTATTGTTAAGAGAATCCATACTGTACCGAGGGTTTCACAGTGTGGACGCGGGATAAAATCTCTTGTGTTGCTATGGGGGAGGAATGCCCCCAGGATATTACACATCACTGTGTGGAATGGTTGGCTCTGTTCCCTCTTTGTTCAGTCAATCAAGGTTTACGCCTGTGTGCCTTAAGCACACAAAACAAAACACAACACAATAGCTGATCCTTTGCAAAATGCGGATTCATTGCCTCCCAGGGTTGGAAACCAAAGGACAGCAGTAGACACCCAACAATGGCTCAACCATTTGACGTCTTTACTTAACTTCATTCACTCTCAGGGGGAATGGGGAGTGGTTAACTCACTCGCCTCGCAAGCAAGAGAACTTGGGTTCAATTCCAAGGCAGGGACAACCTTAGTCGTGTGCTTACTCCACACTCCTCCATTTACCAAGCAATAAGTAGGAACCCTCTTGTTAGTCGATTGGCTAATAGTTTCCAAGTGTGATAATCCCCTAAAAAAAATTGGTCACTAAATTGGTTGTGTACAGTTAACTGCTGCAGTTAACCAACAAAATATGAATTTCTGGAAATATAGTCTGCCTGATATAGCTGACTGGTATAGACCTCCACAGAGAACCTATCTCAGCCTAAGTTGGAGCCAAAGCAGCAAGAGACAAAAACAGGGAAGGATACTTCTTTCTATTTCATTCTCCTCTCTCAGATGACACTGTCCCCTGAAAGCTCACACATCTCATCGCTACACAACTCACTCCTTACCCAAACACCTAGGAAGCACAAGAAGAAAGAATGGAGTCCTTTGTGGAGTCCTGTAGCTCAGTGGTTAGAGCACTCGCTTTGCAAGCGAGGGACCTGAGTTCAATCCCAGGCAGGTCAGGGCGAAACCTTGGGCAAGTTTCCTTACTCCACACAGAGCCTAATAATAATCCCTCCAAAAAACCCAAAACAATAATTAAATTGGTCATTTTCAATCTACGACTGTTTGTGGGACATTGCTGTGCGCAATTGGCTGCCGTGTTCGCCCACAAATATACAGTCAATTCACTTTACAGTGTGTTCTGTGAAGCGCTTTGGGACGTCCTCCCGACGTGAAAAGCGCTATATCAAATGCAAGGATTATTATTATTAATGTTCATTTTTAAAAGAGCATTTTCTAGGTTAAAAGGTCCTAAAGTGTTTCGGGGGTAATTGGGAGCTAGAAAATAATATCTCGGGACACAGTAAATAGTTTGGGACACAACATGTCAAGTGACTGCCAGGACGATGGAAGGCAAACTAGATGGACCTGCGTCTTCTGCCTAGCAAATTCTTCTGTTCTTAAATGTAGTGACAATGTGGAGTCCTGTAGCTCAGTGGTTAGAGCACTCGCTTTGCAAGCGAGAGACCCGAGTTCAATTTCAGGCAGGTCAGGGCGAAACCTTGGGCAAGTTTCCTTACTCCACACAGAGCCTAATAATAATCCCTCCAAAAAAAACAATAATAAATTGGTCATTTTCAATCTACGACTGTTTGTGGGACATTGCTGTGCGCAATTGGCTGCCGCGTTCGCCCACAAATATACAGTCAATTCACTTTACAGTGTGTTCTGTGAAGCGCTTTGGGACGTCCTCCCGACGTGAAAAGCGCTATATCAAATGCAAGGATTATTATTATAATGTACTTAAAGGCAAACCTGGCAACTGATTTGCACCCAATAAGCTCCCGCAAGCAGTCAGGAGATGGAATGCCCAATTATCTGGAGGATCACTAACATCAGGCGAAACTCCCCGCTATTTCCCAATTGTCTTTACATCAAACCGGCAGACAGAACCTCGGTTTAATGTCCCCGTTGAAGGACAGCACCTCTGATAATGTAACGCTCTCCGCCCCCTCACCCCCAAATCAGGCAAGACTGTGATTTTAAGATTAAACACGGGGCTTGAACTCCACAACTTTGTGACCCAGGGGATAGAAAGGGCACTGCCCGCTGAGTCAAGCCAACACTGGCTACAATCAAGTGAGGTGACCGTTATGTCGAGACACGAGACGAGACAAAAGAAAACTTGCAAGATTTTCAAAAGTTTCTGAATTGAGGCTTCTTTAAGAATTGACCGAATTCTGGACACTGAAATGGTAACAAGTATAAATCTAGCCCCAAGGCAATTTCCCCCCCCTTCGCTCTCTCTTCCCCCCCATTCTCTCTCTCTCTCTTCCCCCCCCCTCTCCCTCTCTCTCTTCCCCTCTCCCAATATCATCTCGTCGTCTTAACTATTACTATTAACAAATGTTAGAAGTACAAGCTTGGGACAGTGGCTTCCACTCAGATGTCTCTCTCTCGCTATATATATATATATACACACACATACACATGTATATATATATTCACGCGTTTTAAACCAAAAGTTCTCCCTGGTTAGTTTGTGAGCAGCCACACATCTTAATGAAAATCTGTCTGCAGAAGGAGAGGGAACCGTTTCCTTATTGGCAGGTCAGCGACTGAACTGGTTTTGCTGCTAATCAATCCGGGCAGCCATGGCAATGAAAGAGACAAAAGTCTTGAACGGCTTGAGGTTCTTACCTGCAATGAACTGCCTTAGAGATTTGTTTGTTGACAGGAGATCAGGGCTGGAGAGCTGCTGTGGGCGATGCGACTCAATCACTCGACTGACTGACTAACTGAGTTGCACCTGTTGCGATCTTTGGATCCAAACTCAATCGTGATCACCTGTAGTCCGGGTTTGGGAGGAGTGCAGGGAGGGAGGGAGAGAGAGAGGGAGGGAGAGAGAGAGCAATCCACTTTTGCAAAGCAGATTAGCTCTATTGTCAGCTGCTCCAGATCTGTAACTTTCCAAGTATGGACGTCAGGAGAGCAAGTGACTTATCGTGTGTGTGTCTCTCCTCTCTCTCTCCTTAGCCTTTTGAACACTGGATCAATCCTGGGAAAGTCTAAACACAAACGCAAAAATATCTAAACTGTGTTTGCGTGCAAATGCCTGGTATCTGTCTCTCTCTCTCTCTCTCTCTTACTCACTGCTATTTACACACAGCGCCTCTGTGAGTGCATATTTGCCTTCTGATTGTATTGTATTGCTTTAAGATTGCTTCCAGCCCCTCTCTTTTTTTCTCTCTCTCTCTCCAGGACACCCCCCAATTTAGATTTGATTGGGTGACTTCACTCCCCCCACTTACAGTTATTGTGACATGTTCTGTCTGTTACTAAGTGTCACCCATTTAAGTCAACAGCAGCTTCAATTACTATTTAATCTCTCAATCAATGTTATGTATCTTCTGGTTATGATTTGAATAACTGCTTATAATTGAAACCCATTCAGGGACTGAATATTTCCAAATAATCCCCATTCAATCTCCTGAGAATTTTTTTTTGTCAATGTGTCTTAAAGGTCATCAGTCATAACATAAACCCTTTAACAAAAGGCAAAATACTGCAGATGCTAGAAATCTGATATAAAAACAGAAGTCACTGGGAACACGCAGCAGGTCAGTTCTGACAAAAAGTTATCGACCTGAACCGTTAACTCATTTTCCTCTCTCCATAGACGCTGCCTGACCTGCTGCAAGTTCCTCAGCGACATAACCCCTTTGGTCAGCCGAGTGTCTGACACAAGAGGAAACCTATCACCGTGTTCAAAACAGACTGAGAAGTTCCACATATGTAAGCCACCCACACATGGAAATTTCCCTGCGTCTGAAATGGAACGCGCACTCTCTCTCTCTCGTTTATCGAATTCCGGAGAGTATTAGGTACAGGTTGCTGAGAGCCAAGGCTTGGGGGGCCCAGGGTGTGCGTTAAGTGGATATTGCTGGAGTTTAAGCAGCAAAAAACACAGCACACACAGTGGGCGCCACCAGTACAGTCCTGTCAGGTCTCGACTCGTGCAAACGCATTGCTCCCATTAGCACAAATTACCATTGGAAATGAACTTACATATTTATGATAATTATTGCATCCTGTGGTGCCTCATATGTAAATCAATGGGGAGCACTGACATTTGAATAATATTGCGGAACCCTTGTATGTGTAAAACCAATGCAAGGCAGATGCAGATGATATCAATCAAACTGTGATACGCACCTGGGCAGATCAGTGGCAAATGCAATTTCAGGGCAGAAAAATACAGGAAGCAAGCATTTGAGGGAAGGGGCCTTGGCTGGCGCACTCAACTGCAAGTACACAGTCACTACACTTCACAGTGAAATCCCAGGAAGCGCTTTGAGACGTCTCGACGACGTGATGAGGTGCTCTATCGAACGCAATTCTGATTATATTAGGAGGAACACGCCCTCTGTGGATGGCCAGGAAGTCGAAAGAGAACTCGGACTGTTTGTTTGTTGCCTTAGTGACTGGCAAGAGTGTGAGGCAGCCATAAAAAGGGTAAACAGGATGCTGGGCAGTGTTTTTGTTCAGAGCCCCAGAGATCATGTTCAAGTTGCACAGTGTGATATGAGGGGCTGCTTCAAGCCTCAGGGTCAGCACACAGAGGAGCAATAAGGCTAATCCCCAATATTGGAAGGAGTTTTGCCCACAGAACACAGTCAACCCACTTGACACTATATCCTGGAAGCGCCTTGAGACGTCTCAATGACATCTCAATCATAAGGTGCTATATCAATTGCAAGGATTATTATTATTATTATAATAATGTGGAATGACCAAATAAGCTAGGGCACTTCTTCAACGGGATGTCTCAAGGAGATTGAGCACGCAATGTAAGATGGGAATAGAGAAAAGCAAGCCTTGTGCGGGCGTAAAAGAGAAAGCTAAACATTTCTGGTGTTGCCCTTCATCGGAGACGGGTTCGTGTCTGTTTTCGCACAATAGCAATACTCGCATGTGATTCAGAACCTTTCTGTGTCTCAAAGCTTCACAGGAGATATTACAAAGTGTAGCAACTGTGCGGTTTGTGGGCAAACTCCTATGAAACAAACTGAGAAGACCGAGATGGTCACTTACTCTGCAATAATGCCACCTCCACAAGGTACAGTCATTTGTCCAGTTGCAGTTACCCAGAGTAGGAACACCCTCTGATGGCCACAATAAGGATCAAACGAGCTTCAAACTCAAACCTTTGCCTTTTGAACCTGCGTGGGATGGAGTCCCAGAGTCCCTTCACTCTTTCAATCACTGGGTGAGCTTTCAGCCATCCTGCCTCAACCCTCTGGAACTCCATCTCCAACTTGCCTCCTCCCTCCCCACTTTCAAAGCCTGCCTGAAGATGTACCTCTTTGACTGTGCTCTGCCCCGCTCGCCCCCTCCCCACCCACACACACACACACACCCCCCCCTCTTCAGTTCCTCTCCTCCCCACCCCCTTGCAGGCCCAGCCCGTTGGGTGAGCCACTTTGAGATATCCTCTCTGTGTGTGAAAGCTGCTGTATCAATGTAAATTATGTTGCTTTGTGTGCTCATTCTGCAATAAATAAGCTTACAGTGACGTGCGTTATTGGAATATTGCGTAGGTGTATCTCCTAGGGAAATTGCTACCAGAACAATACTTTGCAGCCTTAGGAACATCCCCTGAAGTTTAAAGAGCTTGCTCTGCCTAAATGCTGTGGGATATTTCCCAGCGTGAAGAATGCGACATACATGCAAGTTGTTGCTGTTGTTGTTCAGAACTGGTCTGTCATCAGCAGTGCCCTGTAGTACCGTGATCCAACCTGGTTCAGGAACCAGGCTACTGACTGTCATGGTTACAATGGATATTCAATGGCTTTGTTTTAATACTGTCGTCTTCTTTCTATTAGAGTCCTGTAGCTTCGTGGTTAGACGCTCGCCTCGCAAGCGAGAGGTCCTGGGTTCGATTCCCAGCAAGGAAACACAATAAAAGCCTCTGTTTACCTAGCAGTAAGTGGGAACCCGGTGGTCAGTCGATTTCCGGGGGTAATAATTCCTTCAAAATAAGTAAAAATGATTTGGTCACTCAATCCTCGACTGTTTGTGGGACCCTGCTGTGCGCAATTGGCTGCCGCATTTCGCCTATGAAATATACAGTCAATTCACCTGATAGTATATTCTGTGAAGCGCTTAGAGACGTCTCGAAGACGTTGATAAAACACTATATCAAATGTAAGCATTAGTATTACTGTATGTTTATTTGTGTCTGTATGTTCCTTTGGTGTCCTCTTGTGGTCTCTCTGGGTACTGTCCCAACTCATAATATAATAATAATCCTTGCATTTGATATAGCGCTTTTCACGTCTTCTCGACGTCTCAAAGCGCTTCACAGATTATGCTGTAAAGTGAATTGACTGTATATTTGGGTGCAAAACGCGGCAGCCAATTGCGCGCAGCAATGTCCCACAAACAGTCGTGGGTTGAAAAATGACCAATTTATTATTGTTTTGTTTTGGAGGGATTATTACTCATCTCATCTCACTGAGGCAAAGCCAAGCACTTAAAAGGGATGTTGCCAAGGCTGCAAAGTGTTGTTCTGATGGCAATTCCCCTAGGAAGTACACCTACGCAATACTTCAAGGCTGAAGACGTGATTAAAGTCAGTCACAGACAATGGAATGGTGATAAATTAAATTACATTGGGATCTCTCTCTCCCCGTCTAAATTGCTACTCCCACCCTGTTGCCCTCTCTTTCCCACCCCTGGTTTAAGGGAACACAGAAAGCTAATGAGCTGCCTTTTAATAATAATTCTTGCATTTAACGCCCTATCACATTGTTGAGAGTTGCCAAAGCACTTCACTGAATAGATTGTAAAGTGAATTGACTGTGTATTTTGTGGACAAAACGCGGCCGCCAATTGTGCACAAACAATGTGGATTGAGTGACCACATTTATTTATTTATTTATTTTTTGGGAGGATTATTACACCCATAAAGCAATTTGCCAATCGACTGTCAACTGGGTTCCTACTGCTACAGAGGCATGTGGAGTGAGGAGACTTGCCAAAGGTTTCGCACCACCTGGGAATCGAACCCGGGTCCTCTTGCTTGTGAGGTGAGAACATAAGAACATAAGAATTAGGAGCAGGAGTAGGCCATTCGGCCCCTCGAGCCTGCCCCGGGATTCAATAGGATCATGGCTGATCTATTCTAACTCCACCTCCCGCCTTATCCCCATATCCCTTAATCCCTTTATCCACAAGAAATCTATCAATCTCAGTCTTGAATATGTTCAAGGACTGAGCATCTACAGCCCTTTTGGAGTAGAGAGTTCCATAAAGTCACTACCCTCTGAGTGAAGAAGTTTTTCCTCAACTCAGTGCGAAAGGGCTTAGGCCTAATTTTAAGACTGTGACCCCTGGTTATAGTTTCTCCAACCAGGGAAAAAAGTCTCCCACTATCTATTCTGTCGTGCCCCTTAATAACCTTATAGGTTTCTATAAAATCACTTCTCATTCTTCTATGTTCTAGAGAATATAGGCCTAAATTGCTCAACCTATCCTCATAACTCATCCCCCTCATCCCAGGTACCAACCTACATTGTACCCCCTCCAAGGCGAGTACATCCTTTCTTAAATAAGGAGATCAAAACTGCACACAATACTCTCGGTGCGGTCTCAGGGCCCTATACAGTGGCAGTAAGACTTCCCTACTCTTATATTCTAACCCTTTTGTAACAAATGCCAACATACTGTTAGCCTTCCTAGTTGCTTGCTGTACCTGCAAACTAACTTTTTGTGACTGGTGTACAAGGACACCCAAGTCCCTCTGAACGCTAACACTATCTTGTCTCTCCTCTTCTAAAAAAATAATCTGCTCTACTGATTTTGCCACCTAGGTGGATGACTTCACACGTCCCTACATTACACTCCATCTGCCACCTATTTGCCCACTCACCTGCCTATCTATATCTTCTTGCATTTTTTTAATGTCAACCTCGGTGTTTACTCTCCCTCCTAGTTTAGTGTCATCCGCAAATTTGGATATATTAAGTTCGATGTCCTCATCTATAATAATAATAATCCTTACATTTGATATAGCGCTTTTCACGTCGGGAGGACGTCCCAAAGCGCTTCACAGAACGCACTGTAAAGTGAATTGACTGTATATTTGTGGGCGAACGCGGCAGCCAATTGCGCACAGCAATGTCCCACAAACAGTCGTAGATTGAAAATGACCAATTTATTATTGTTTTTTTTTGATTTTGGAGGGATTATTATTAGGCTCTGTATGGAGTAAGGAAACTTTCCCAAGGTTTCGCCCTCTGCCTGGAATTGAACTCAGGTCTCTCACTTGCAAAGCAAGTGCTCTAACCACTGAGCTACAGGACTCCTAGATCGTTGATGTAGGTTGTAAATAGTTGAGGCCCAGGCTCTGATCCTTGTGGCACTCCACTAGTCACATCCCGCCAATCTGAGAAGGACCCATTTATCCCTACTCTTTGTTTTCTTCGCGTTAAGCCATTCTTCAATCCATGCTAATATACCCCTTAATTCCATGGGCCCTAATCTTGTGGATCAACCATTATTATATATTATATATTATATATTATTATATATTATATATAGCGGGTGAGCCCACTAACCACTACGCTACGGGACTTTATCCAAGTCACAGTTGCAAAAAGTCACACAGACAGCGAAGTTTAGTTCACCCTTTATTAACACAAAATAAAAGGTTTAACGAACCAGAGTGAAGACCACAGTGCAGTAATTGTGAGAGCAGAATGCATAAGCTACGTACCAAATCTAAATTGTAAAGCGTGAGATCATTAGATATATATTACAAATCTATATATATTATAAAAATTGGGACTGCTACTCAAACAGGTAGCATTCCTGTGTTTATTGCAGTATGATCTGCAGATAGAGTTTCACATCCACAAATTCCTATAGGTTATTGTCAGGTGCAGTAAAAATATTATATTGCTGTGACTCATATATTGGTGGACTCTGAAAACAGAGGGAGATGAAACCTACAACAAGTTACATTTATATAGAACCTTTCACCTCAAGAAGACATCCCAACCGACTTCGAAACTCAAGCTAATAGAGCGAGTTTATCTGATTGCTCACGGCAGTCATTCAAAGTAAAACGTTTTTTTTTTAAAAAACACAAACCTCAAGGAATTGTTTCATTGAGAAGGAAATAACTGAATGATTCCCGGAGAGTTTAAAAACAAGTTACATTCAGAAAGCCCTCTCCTCTCTTCTTTTCGCAGGCTTCCCGCAGTTAGAAAACCTATTCACACCGTTAATATAGAGAAGTACATGGAACCTCAATCAGTTTTCATTTCAAAAACTTGCTGAGGGAGATGTAAACCTTTCTTCCTGACCAAAACAAAACAAGCTTTATATGTCCACCTCCCCATCCTCCGCCCTCATCAAAATAATCACATTTTACAGAAATTCATCTTCAAACTTCAGAATGGCGTTTTACAATCTATATACACACAGGCTTATGTCTTATCAGATGCAAACTATTGTCTTAACCATATGTTTCTGGCCCCCCAACCCCACTTTATTACGTTCCAGCCAAAACAAAATACAATAAATTCCTGATAACTCGATCCTGGTTTAACTTGTCACTATCACTTTAGTCATCACACTCTCAATATCCCAGTACCATTAATTTATGTATTTATACATATGCCTAACTCATCATTCTGGATAAGTGGTCACTTAGCCCTTTTTCCTTGGAGTGTTAAGTTATCAGGAGTTTACTGTATATACAAACACAGAAATGGTGTCAAAACCTCTGGTGCAGTTCAGGACAGCGATCCTACTCATTTAAGACCTTAACAGAGAGATCAGGAAGGAGGTAGGACCTTATACACTGTGTGCATTTTCCCATACGGTATGACAAAAGCAAGTCATTTATTGTGCAACTCCACAATTCCTAATTTCGATGGCATCCAGACATTTGTGTTTTTTGGTCAGCCGGGCGTCTGGCACACAGAAATCCCTCATCTTGCTTAAGAGTGTCCAAACAAGAATGAGAGTGCCACGTATGCATGCCACCTGTACAGGGAAATGCACTCTCTCCTCCCTAGAGAGAACACACCCTGTTTATTTGGTTAATTCTATCCTATCTCCACCAGCAATGGTGAGCTGTCTCTAATGGGCGGAGGGAAACAGAAAGTGAAAGGTTCATATATAGAACACGTATTGCTTTGTACACACACAGACGCACGCACATTAAAAAAATATATACACAATTGCATATTGCACGTGTTCAAGGATGTTACCGCAAACTCTGCAAAAACACAACTCCAGTGGTCACAAAGTTGCAGCCTATGTACAAGTATTTATTGGAGTTACGGCTCTCCCAAAATAATCCCATCACATGTTGATTTGCATTCCCAGTTGCAGTGACATTGGCATAAAGGAACAAATAGTTTTTTCCCATCTCTCTTCCCTCTCTCAGAACATACTGCAAAGTGAATTGACTGTGATTCAGGGGGTGAAACGCAGCATCCAATTACGCACAGCAGTGTCCCCCAAACAGTCGTGGAAAGAATGACCGATTTTTTTTGAGGGATTATTACTGACAGAAAGCGATCCTCTAATCGACCAACATTTGCTGCCAGGTAAACAGAGGCGTGTGGAATAAGGAAACTGGTCAAAGGTTTCCGGGAATCGAACCCGGGTCCTCTCGCTTGCGAGGCAAGCACCCTAAACACTATGATACGGGATGCCCCAAGTATCTTGGTGTAGAGTTGAACCCCTTCAGGAGAGGGGAGACCTGGAGCGAGCAGGAGAGATGGAGAGTGGAAACTCAGTTTACTGAGATGCACAACGCTGAAGAAGTTCTTTAAACACATAACAACAGTGGTTAGAAGCCAACACGTAAAAAATAAAATAACCTTTTTAAAAAAGACACAACCATCAGTAGTCAAACAGCACGAGATAAAATCTTACAGAAACATAATATAACCTATGTATTTATAACAACTTACTGCATACAAGTTTTCACAACAACAACTTGCATTTATGTAGCACCCTTCATGCAGGCTAGCGTCCCAGAGCTCTTCCCATCACACGTTGAGCATTCCTAATTGCAGTGATTTACAAATAAAACTCACACACATATATGGCAATAGCCGAAATTTGTACAAGGAATTAAAACGATGGAATTTGATGAGTCTCCCCCCCCCAAAAAGGGCGTCATAAAAAAGTGCATCAATCTGCATAGACTTGTTACAATGATGTGAAGCTATCTGATCATTTGGTTCCTATGGATAGCGACGAGGTATCAACAGCAAGTGGTTTGGTGAGTAGTTAAGCACCTTACTAGAAAGACTTATCTATGTAAATGCATCTCACCTCGCTCTTTTTCTCCTCCATCAGAATTGTTTTTTTCCCAATATTAAGCACCCATCTTTATTTCTCAATTCCCCCCCCCACCCCCACCCACCCTCCCCAATTCCATTCACAACTCTATTACCAGATTAAATCTGCTAATTTTTAACATAACAAAAAAAAACTCTATATTTACAAATCTAAGCGTGGACACATTGCACTGACCGATTATATATTTTTTTCTCTATTTGTTACTCTGTGACAACATGTTGTTATTTATAATAATTAGCATCCTAGCATTTAAATGTAGCGCCTTAAATACCTTGAAACGTCTCAAAGTGCTTCACAGAGTTTCCTGGCAAGTGCAGTGACTGTGTCCGTGGAGGTAAACGTGGAAGCCAATTTGCACACGGCAATGCCCCACAAACAGCCATGAAGTGAATGACTAGTTTTTGGGGAGGCTTGTCAGCCAGGACAGCGGAAGAGAGAAACTCCCTCCTCTTTTCGAACAGCCACAGGTATCTTTTAACGTCCACCTGAACAGGCAGACGGGAACCAATACAAAGAAACACATAATTTGCACTGAATTGTTGTGGGCTATGAATATTAAATTTAAGGAGAAATGTTTACTACCAATTGCGCCACAGGGTAAGTAAGAAGCCTCACCTGAGTCTGAATGTGCAGTGGTTAGTATATGGCTGTGCCCCTCTACAAGATTGCACATCGAGCAAAAGGTGAGGGCCACAAATGTTACCTAGAGAAGTGGTTTAATAATAATAATAATCCTTGTATTTGATACAACGCCTTATCACGTCGTAGAGACTTCTCAAAGCTCTTCACAGAATATACTGCAAAGTGAATTGATTGTATATTTTGTGGGTGAAACGTGCAGTCAATTACGCACAGCGGTGTCCCACTAACAGTTGTGGATTGACTGACCGCATTATTCATTTTTTTTAATATAAAGGTATCATTACCCCCAGAAAGCGATCCGCCAATCGAGTAACAACCGGGATCCTACTTACTGCTGGGTAAACAGAGGAGTGGAGTAAGGAAACTTGCCTAAGGTTTCGCCCTGAATGGGAATCGAACCCGGGTCCTCTCGCTTGCGAGGCGAGTCCTCTAACCACTACGCTACAGGTTTAGCACAAAAGCAGCCTCTGGAACTGCGAGCCGCTTTCACAAGAGGCTTTGTTTTACGTAGAGAGAAATGCACGTAGAGCATCTTCATAGGCTTAGCTCGTGACGTCGCTCGAAAAAAAAAAGTACCCGTTATATTCTATACACTCACACACACACACATAGGAAAAAATACTTTCAGGCTAAGAGGTACCCAGCAGAGATAGAAAGTCTGTGTGGCGCAGCCCACCACCACCTTTAATACTCAAATACTGGCCCCTGAGGAGGGTGGAGAGGGTTTCATCTCTAAGCCAGTTGACTCCAGGTCCTCTTGGCACATGGACGCTTGCATTTTGAGGTCAATGTGGAGCTTGCCCGGCCACAGCTGTCGCTGGTACTCTTCACACTTCACGATCAGGTCCATCACCGAGGTATTGCTCCTCACCCACTTGCGGACAGACTCGTAAGAGGACAATCCTCGCGAGGGTAGGAACAGGCTTTTGGTCCTGTGGAACTCCAGGTTATAGTGCAGCCTGCAACAGCAACAACAACAAACAACAAACGTCAGGAGGATGTCCCAAGGCGCTGCAACACAGGAGGCGGCAGGTGAATGAGAACGAGACGCGGCTTTTAATGGTTATTTAAAAGGTGTTGGAAGTAAGACTACGTTCAATTTGAGTTAAATTATTCTGTACGGTTTAGCCTCGGTGCTTCATCATTTTATTTCGCTTCCTAGCCGCGTTTTGGCAATAAATATAAACCTTGCGAAACGCAAAATGCTGCAGATGCTGGAAATCTGAAACAAAAACAGAAGTCGCTGGGAACACTCAGCAGGTCAGGCAGCATCTATGGAGAAAGGAAAGTGAGTCAATGTTTCGGGTCCACGACTCCAAGTTCTGACCCTGAGTTCTGATGAACACTGTTGAGTGTTCCCAGCGACTTCAATATAAACCCTGTGTGTTTGGTATAGCGCCTTGTCATGTCCTCGAGATGTCCCAAATCGAATCACAGGAGATCATAATACTGATAATAATAATCCTTGCATTATATATAGCGCCTTATAACGTCGTTGAGATGTCTCAATGCGCTTCACATAATGCGACAGCTAATTGCGCACCGCAGTGTCCCACAAACAGCCATGGGTTGAGTGAACAAATTATTATTATAATTTTTTTAAGGGATGATTATTCCACAACACGATCTGCCAATTAACTGGTTTCACATTGCCCGGGATTCGAACCTAGGTCCTCTCGCTCGCTAACCAATACTCTTAAGAGGATTTTTGTGGGCGAAACTGTGATCAATTGTTGCCACACGAGCCATATGTGCCCTCACCTTGCGTTGAGGCTGTGTCCGAGCCTGGCCTTGGCGTTCTTCACAAAGTACCACAAGACGTTGCTTATCTGATCTTTCATCCAGTCCACGTCGCTGGGCAGGTCGGGCAGCCACTCGAGGATCCTAGCGGAGCAAAAAACAGGCGAAGGTCACATGAGAAGCCTGCGGGAACCGGAAGTTCATCATTAAATCCTTCCGCGTGCATGCATTTGGCATGTCTGTGTGCGCTTGTGCGCGCGTGTGTGTATGTGCGCACGCGTGTGTGTGTGTATGGACTGTCTCACCTTTCCAAAGAATTAACTCGCGGAATAGGAACTTGAGCAAAGCACCCCCGTAGTTATACTGAGATACTTGGTGAGATTTACACGCTCAGGTTGTATAGTGCTGTTCAGGCCACACAAGGCTGTGTACAGTGAGAGAGGTCGGTCCTTTCTCGCACACCCTCCCCTTTGCCAAAATGTACCTCCTGGCGTAGTGACTGTGTGTTTCGTGGGCGAGCGCAGAGGGTCAGCGTCCACTTACCTCACGGTGAGCGAGACTGCGGATTCCACCGGCAGCGTGTAGGGAAGCATCAGGACTGAGGCCAGGCGAACGGGCAGCATGTTGGAGACAACTGAGCAGAGACTCTTGCTTTCAGTGCAGGCGTCCGTCAGCGCTACGTGGAAGCAAAGGTGTTGTTAGATAAAAAAAGTCACATTTTTATAACACCTTTCACGTCCAAGACAGTCAGGGGGTTGGGATCAGGAGGGTAGGGGGAAGAGGGCGACCAAAGAATATCTTGAGACAGGCACTGAAGGTGGCAATTGGAATGGTGGAGATAGGGGAGTTGGGGTGGGCGAGGCGAAAGGACTGAGGGATGGTGTTCCAAAGGTTGGGGGGGAGGGGGGGGGTTGGGGGCCTGGGGAAGAAAACAACATAAAGCAAATACACTTTGACGAAAAAGTAACATTGCACGTCGTCAAAATGGTGGAACTTGAGGTCGTTGGGAGCATCGTAGAGAAACTGCTCCCAAATGCTGAGCAAGCAGGGTGAGGTGCGTGATTAAAGTGGTTTGAGTTTTAAGTAATCTGAGCTCTTGTCAATCCGTCTCTTTCAGCGAAGGTCTGCTCTCATCTGTATTCCCCGACTAGAAAACCAGATTAAATTGAGCCATTCATCTCATGGCCGCCTGTAAGACTTTCCTGGCACGAGAAGCTAAACTGCCTGCACCGTACCACAAAGTGACTCATTGTGCAAAGACTTGCTGAGTGTTCACAATTAGAATTTCCCCTCGTTCAGAATTGCCCTCGTGTTAAAACCCTGGCGGAGCCGATGACTAAGTCGCTGCATTAGGCGAGAATCTCGGCGACTCAGAGATTGATTCGGAGTCTATAGGTGAACCTTCCTGAAGCTGAGGCAGGTAATAATAGCAATAATAATCCCTGCATTTGATATAGCACCTTATCACGTCGTCGAAACGTCTCAAGGTGCTTCACAGAATATACTGTGAAGTGAAGTGTCTCTACATTTTGTGGGTGAAACGCAGCAACCAATTGTGTGCAGCAGTGTCCCACAAAGAGTTGTGGATTGAGTGACCAAATTATAATTATTAATTTTTTTAAAAAGGGATTATCACTCCCGGAAAAGCGATCCGTCAATTGACTAACAACCAGGTTCTTACTAAATAAGCAGAGTAACGAAACTTGGCTAACGTGTCGCCCCGCCTGGGAATCGAACTCAGGTCCTCTCGCTTGCGAGACGAGTGCTCTAACCACTGAGCTACAGGACTCCACAAGATGTGGATTGCTCACCTTGGTGCAGGCGGGGTGGCATGTGTTCCATGATCCTATTGTTGTTCTCGGACATGGCGCCGGCCTGATTCCCTTCTGCAATCTCCATCACCTCCACCTCCTCTTCCACCCAGTTCGACTCGTACAGAGATCGTGGGCAGGGGTTCTGTAAGAGCGTTGGTCGGTTCAGCAAGGCTGCACAGAGAAGAAACAACAGGGGAGGAAGGGAAGAGAAGGTGGAAAAGGGAAGGGGTGGGATAAAGGAAATAGAACATTATTTACAAAGATAAACTAAAGCTTAATTTAACCACGATTTACTAAGAATGTACAACAACAACAACAAATTACTTTTGCACAGCGCTTTTCACATCAGGAGGACGTCCCTAGACACTAGACAGTCAGGGATCCACACCCGAGCTGGTGGTTGGAATCAGGGTAGGGAGTAGGAGGGTGACCGAAGGCGTGGTCGAAGAGGAGGGTCTTGAGTCGGGTCTTGAAAGAGGCAAGGGAGGGGACTCAGAGGAGATACAATTCGGAAACAAAATCTGTCTGTGCTGGTGTTTATACTCCACACGAGTCTCCATCCATTCCTTTACTCCCTCCCACGGGTTAAGAGAAGTTCCACTTTGGGGAGATTAATACAACATTTTATTAATCTGCAAAAAGACATGGTTAGGGAATTATTTTTTGGCACTTGTAGTTGAATTTGCTAATGTACTAAGTGCAACATGAATTGTTGGACCATCAATTGTTTGAATCTGTAACATTTAGAGGAGTAAGGAAACTTGCCAGACGTGTCGCCCTGCCCGGGAATCAAACCCAGGTCCTCTCGCTTGCGAAACGAGTGCTCTAACTCCACAAAACTCCACAGTCAATGGGCCTCATTAATCACCGGGCACAATAACACATACAAATTATATTCGTAAAGCACCTTTCGAGTCGGGAAACTCAACCCAAGGTGGAATACCTCACTCACCATTCCTCTTGAGGAAGTCCAGGGCATCACTGAAACCTTGTTTGCACATGTCCTTCATCACCTGCTCAACACAACACAAAACCAACATGATTAAAATCTATTATTACATTGCAATCATCACAGAAAACTTCACTCATTTAGATACCCGCCGGTAGACTATTTACTCCACTCCTTTGCAGAGAACCACGTCAATATGTGAAGCCTCGGTATGAAAGGATAAAAATAATAATGACCCTTGCATCTGATATATTGTTGAGACATCTCAAAGCACTTCACAGCATATACTGTAAAGTGTAGTGACTGTGCATTTTATGGGCGTTACGTGGCAGCCAATTGCACACAGCAATGTCCAACAAATATGATTTGAAAGCGATCCACCAATCGGCTAACAACTGAGTTCCTACTCACTGAGAGGGCAACCGAGGCGTGTGGGGTACGGAAATTTGCCTAAGGTTTTGCCCTGCCTGGGGAATCTAAACCCAGGTCCTCTGGCTTGCGAGGCGAGCACACTAACCACTACGCTATAGGACTTCACATAAGCAAAGCAACACTTCAACAGCAGAAACAACAAGTTGCATTTACACAGCGCCCTTCGCACAGAGTAGCGTCTCGGAGCAGTTACCTCTGGCTCAGGTGGGAATAAGGCCTTGGAGAGCCGGTACAGGTTCTGCAGGTTGAACTGAATGCTAGTGTTGGTTATTCTCATCTCGTGCATGTTGTTGGAGCGATCGCGAGGGCAGATGTCGCTCTCGCCAGCAAATGGAGACACCGTGATTGTGTTCTTGAGCTCATACTGAGGCAGGTTGTCTGTAATACCACCGTCGACATATCTCTGGAGAGAGGATGGAACAGGGTTTTATTTTAAACACAAGAATAATAATAATAATAATCCTTGCATTTGATATAGCTCATCACGTAGTTCAGACGCTCAAGAATATGTTATTAAGTGAATCGACTGTATATTTGGGGGTGAAAAACATAGCAGCCAATTACACAAACAGTCGTGGATTGAGTGAAAATCTTTCTTTCTTTCTTTCTTTCTTTCTTTATTTACTTATTTATTTACTAATTTATTTCTTTATTTACTTATTTATTTCTTTATTTACTTATTTATTTGGCACAATTACCCTCGGAAAGCATCTAAGCTATATTCCGCACTCACTCGCGGTTGCAGCACTCGCCTCACAAGTGAGAGGACCCGGGTTCGATTCCCAGGCAGGGCGAAACGCCTCTGTTTACCTAGCAGTAAGTAGGAACCCAGTTGTTAGTCTATTGGCGGATCACTTTTCTGGGGATAATAAATCCCTTTAAAAAAACGCATATGGTTACTCAATCCACGACTGTTTGTGGAATCCTGTCGTCTCTGGCTCAGTGTCAGGCTGCACCACTGTAAAGTGCTCTGGGACTCTATCCTGCGTGAAGGGTGCTATATAAATAAGTTGTTGGTGTTGTAGTAATGCACACGGGGTTGGATAAACTTTCCTGTCCATAAACATTCCGCAAAACAGCGACTTCTCCTTAAACGTTTAAATAACACTTCTTTGAATCCAATGAATCAACAAAAACACCCACTTCTCTCTACGATCAACAGGGAAGCGAGGAGAAATGACGTATAACTAAAAGGTATTTACCACACGAGCACTGCCAGATGTTTACTTGTTTTTTGACTGTTCTATGAACTATCGTATTTTAAAGTATGACTCAGGGTTCAGAGATGTGTCCGGTATTTCAACGTTATCATAAACATCAAGGTCCCTGGTTAATAATTAATGCCGTTAATGTATCTCCCAATGTAGCACCAAAGCCTTACAGAGTAGGAGGACCATGGGGAGATGCTGGGGCAGTAGAGTTTGGTGCTTTAAGCCCCGAAGCTTTGAAACGCTCTCCCCCAATCCCTCCGCTTTGCCCCCTCCTTTCCCTCTTTCAGATCACAACTGAAGACCTTGCTCTTGACTGTTCTTATGGGCACCTTCTCCTTCCCTTCCCCTCGCTCAGCATTAGGCTCCGCTACTGTTAAGCGCTCCAAGACACTGCTCTGCATAAATGGCGCTATAAGAATGCAAGTTGTTGTTGTTACTGTTGAATGTTGAACCCCCATCATTGCCCAACTCCACTGGCTTCCCATCACACAAAGGATACAGTTCAAGATCCTGGTCCTCACCTTCAAAGCCCTCCATGGTCTTGCTCCCCTCCTACCTCTGTGACCTCCTAACCCCCTGCCATCCTGCTCGCTCCCTCCGCTCAGCAGACTCCAGCCTGCTTCACGTCCCCTGCCTCGCTCGTCCCACTATTGGCGGGCGGACCTTCTGCCACTCTGCCCCCACCCTCTGAAACTCCATCCCGCAGTCCCTGTGCCTCGCCCCCTCCCTCGCCACCTTCAAGACACATCTCAACTGTGCTTTCGATCTCCCTGTTTCTCCCCTGCCCTCCGCTCCCCCACCCCGACCCTTAGCTCTGGTCTGAAACTCTGTCTGTCCAGCCTTGGGACGTCCTCCTGACGTGAAATGCGCTATAGAAATGTAATTTTGTTGTTGTTGAATGGTCCTCAGCCTCCCAATGCTTGAGCGAGGGCAGGAGGGGAAAAGTGGGGAATAAACCGGCAGAATTCCCATGACATGGGGACAGAGCACGAATCGTATACATCAAAAGCTAAATATTAGAATCACAATTTCGGACTGAAGAGGGTTACAAAAGTAAAAATAATGAAAGAGTCGCTATCTAAAGAAAATATAACAATCTTAAGGTGCAACCTTCAATAATAATGCTTGCATTTGATATAGCACCTTACCACGTTGTCAACAATGTCTTAAAAGTTGTCTTCACAGAATGTACTGTTTGCCCACAGCAGTGTCCCACAGACAGCTACGGAGTGAGTGATCAATTTTATTTGGAGGATTGTTGGCCAGGACACCCAGAGAGACAAACTGCCTTCTCTTTTTGAGTAGTGCCACAGTGTACGTATGTACATGAAACTAAATATAAAATAGACGGTAACTAAACATACAATAGATTTCAGGGCCTGTCCTTTGGAAAATAAACCCTGCTCTCAATTCAATCGTTTTTGCTTTCTCTATCCCACTTGTGCCCTCTAGAGTGTATCATCTAGAATGCTGTACAAAAAGGTGTCTTCTCTCTTGAGCAACCCAGTTCTGGATTTTAAAAATAGATGTAAATACTATATTAAGCAATCCTTTGTGCACAGGATGGTGAGAAAATGGAACGACTGCATGGGAGACACAGACAGAATCAACTGATCAGAGATGAATATACTATGCTGTACACATCGTGTAAGGCTGTTAAAGGGATGCAAGAGAAAGGCTGGGAGATGTGATTAAAGCTTTTCCTTGCGTTTATCAACATCACAAGATTGGTCTGGATGAAGAAGGCTCTTCAGCCCATTTGATCTCATCCTTCCTGAATGCCCACTCGAACAACCTGCCATCACAGTATCGAGCTCCAGTGTTTAATGATGGCAAAGACTGTAGGGCTCGCTCCTATGCACTGTTACAGTGAATGACAACTTTATCTTGGAAGACTGCGCAAATGCTAACCTCCTAGCAAGTGCTCTGTCACGTTAGCAGTGGAACGACTGGAAAAGACATTACACATTGAACAGAGACAAAGTTTAATATCAAATTAAGTATCTTGCCTGTATTTACTTGTTTGAACACACACACTTCAATTCCTGCAACAGGAGATTCGTGACCTGAATCACTGGCTGCTCACAGCTCATCCATTTAAAGCTGACATTAGTGCTGACAGCAGCGATACAGGTGAGCGATCAGGCTGAAATTTCACGTCGTGTTGAATCTCCCATCGCCTCGCTTCACAGGGATGAGTTTGTTTGCCACCAAAAGTAAGATCTCATGACACGACTCAAAAAAGAGAAGGGAGTTTCTGACCAGTAACTCTCCAGATAAATTGGTCGTTCACCTCCTGGCTATTTGTGGACATCGCTGTGCCAAATTGGCTGCTGCTTTTGTCTCTTTTGTACATAACCACTCACTACACTTATTGCAAAGCACTTTGAGACCTTGACAAGATAGGCATTATAATAATAAAATATATAATACATAATAATATAATTCCATTATATTCTACAGGCATCATATCGAATGCATTGATCATTTTTACAGTAACCTTATGGAGAAAGGGCTACAAAGAGAAAAAGATGAACGAGAAAGGAGAAAGTTATATCACAGCGTTCTTTGCATGTCTCCAGTGACCAGTTCAAGTGTACTGGGAATTATGGCAATTACAAAGAGGATGCCATTCAGCCTGTTGATCCTATGCTTTCTCTCTCTCTTTCATAATAATAATCCTTGCATTTGATATAGCGCCTTATCACATCTTTGTGACGTTTCAAAGCGCTTCACAGGATATACTGTAAAGTGTATTGACTCTATATTTTGTGGGCGAAATGCGGCAGCCAATTGAATGGAGGTATCTTCATTAATTTAATTCTACTTCTAAAGGCAATCACTACGCTTTACAGTAAATCCTGGCACATCCTCCCGATGTAATATATGCTGTATTAAAGTGTATTAACTACATTTCAGCACTCTGGGACACGACCCTGCGTGAGGGCCATTACGTAAATGCAAGTTGTTGTATTAAATGCAATGATTCTTATCATTATTACTATTTCTCTGCTTTTTCTCATTGTTCATTTGTGTACACTATTCCCCTTCAAATACAAATCCAGGAAGAGATGCCGGGGGATCAAGTTCGCTGACAAAGCAGCTGCACAATATGGATGGGGAACCGTAGAACCAATATGAAACTTTTAATTTGGTTTTAAAAGGAAGTATGCTAAGCTGAAAGAGCCTTATACACATAGACATCTAATAATTCCTTTTAAAAAATGTGGTCACTCAATTCACAACTGTTTGCGGGACACTTCTGTGCACAATTGGCTGCCGTATTTCGTCCATAAAATATTCTGCAAAGCCCCTGAGATATTTTGAAGACGTGATAAGGCTCTATATTAAATGCAAGGACTATTATCATTATTATTATTGTTGTTATTATCTCTGCATAGGCTGAATAGTACAGACCGTAAGATGCCAATTTTGCAATTTCCTTTAGTTTCTTCCCATTCAAACCTACGTCTTTCTGTGGTTATCAATGATGAGGAGTCATAGTGACAGGTGGGGAAAGAGATGGACAAACATGTAGACAGAAATGCACTTTGTATTGCATCATAGCTGTATAGTCTGGCATGAGAAATCATGCTGTCCTCAAACAAAGAGACAACAAACAATGACTGGAAAGACATCACAAGGTCTGTAACGGAGTTAAGAGGATCAAATGATAGCTAACAGTGAGAGTAAAGCTGCACGTTTACAGTGACATCAAATCCCTTGAGTATTATAACCTTGAGCACCTCCCCAAACACAGTCTCTCCATTCCCTCTGCCTTTCCTCACTTGCACTTCAACTTACCACTCCTTTCAATGTTGGAGGAATCAGTCCACAGTACACGGGGATAAATGTGCTGCATATACAGGCCTAGGGGGAGAGTAGCAAATAGGTTAGTACAGCAGTTTTAAATATAATAATAATCCTTGCATTTGATATAGCGCTTTTCACGTCTTCTAGACGTCTCAAAGCGCTTCACAGAATAGACTGTAAATAACAATAATAATCCTTGCATTTGATATAGCGTTTTTCACGTCGGGAGGACGTCCCAAAGCTCTTCACAGAACACACTGTAAAGTGAATTGACTGTATATTTGTGGGCGAACGCAGCAGCCAATTGCGCACAGCAATGTCCCACAAACAGTCGTAGATTGAAAATGACCAATTTATTATTGTTTTTGGTTTTGGAGGGATTATTATTAGGCTCTGTGTGGAGTAAGGAAACTTGCCCAAGTTTCGCCCTCTGCCTGGGATTGAACCCAGATCTCTCGCTTGCGAAGCGAGTGCTCTAACCACTGAGTTACAGGACTCCACAAGCCTCCTGTTTGCACAGCATTAATTACTCAATCATCAAAATAACTCATTAAAACGTTGCTAGGGATCTAGGTCGCTCGATAGATTAGAGCTCACAGTTGTTTCTTATGTAAGGAATAGGGTCAAATTTTAGGCCTTCTGCAAAGCCAGTTTCTGTTAGGCATGAAGAATGCTTTGCTTTTGAAACACAGGTGGCGAAACACAGGTTTGCTTCTATGGCAATAGCTGCTCGCAACTTGCGCTGTGCAGAGAAGCGAGGCAACATCTTATCTCAAAGACCCACAGTGTCCTACATATGGTCTATGCCATCATATCACCTCTCGTGATTTTAATACAAATGGAAAACAACAGAGATCCCACTTTTAAGCCATTGACTAAATCCAGCCCATCTCCAAGTCCAATCTATTTGCCCCTAGTCTTTGCATTCCACCTTTCACCTCAACCCTCTGTAAATCCCGCTAATTTATCTTTAATACCAAGTGCCTTCTTTTTTTCTCAACCAAGTGGTACTTTATTGCAATGTGATTAAAGAAGACATGATAATGCCAAGTTTTTAAAGCGTCAACGAAAAAAAAAGACCCCAAAAATCGTGGCCTTTTGGCTGATGCTGAGATGGCACAGATCGTATGAAGGGCGGTGGTGATCTTTAAAGAGGAGATGTTGTCTCGCTTCTCTGCACAATGCAGCAGTTAATAGGTAATAGAGACAAATCTGTGGTTAGGCCCCAGCATCCAGCCCTGTGTAAGCCCTGGGAAAGCAAAACCCTCGAGTCAACAGACCCAACGTCCGAGCAAAGAGACTCGGAAACCAAATGGCGTTCAGAGAGCCTCTAGTAACCGGCGTGCTTACTCTCCACCCATGCCTACGGTCACCTCCCACCCAGCTCAGCATTGTGCTCCGCCACTGTCAAGCGCTCTGGGACGCTATCCTGCCTGAAGGCCACTACAGAGATGCAAGTTGTTGTTGTTGCTTACCTGAACGAGATCCTCTTTGCTGTTGAACACGGACACCAGCACGTTCTCTCCGTCGGACACTCGGGTCAGGGAAATGCCCAGGCGGCCTGTTGCTAACTCGTGCGCATTGTCAGGGAGGGTTTTGTAAAGCCGACTGCGAATGATTTTCACCAAGTTGAAGGAAGGGTGGAGAGGGCCAAGAAACCTCTTGCGAGCCTCCTTAGACACTTCAATAATGTTGGAGCCAGATTCCCCTGAAGGAAAAGCATAGAAACACAATGAGAATAATAATAATAATTATAATTAAAAATTAATAGAGCGCCCGATTATGTTGACCAAACATCTCAAGACGTGTCAACAGGATGTATTTGGTATTTGAATGATTTGGGCATTTAATCCACGACTGTTTGTGGGACGCTGCTGTGCGCAGTTGGCTGCCGTGTTTGGCCCACAAAATATACAGTCAATTCGCTTTACAGTATAATCTGAGAGGCGTTTTGAGACGTCTCCACCATAAGTCGATATATCAAACGGAAGCCCAGCGAACCCACCCATCTGTGTCTAGTCCCCATCCTGTGAAATGTGCTGCGCTCCACCACTGGCCTCATTAACTGCGTCCAGTCCCATAAAGATGGACAAGTGCGGAACACTTGCATCAAATTCCAGCCATTTCAAAGCAAAGGCAGGACATCACAAATGATGTGTGTGTGTGTGTGTGTTGTGCAATGTGTGTGTTTGTGTGTGTGTTATGTAATGTGTGTTGCAAAAACGTTTTTTTAATATATACAGAGTACACAGTACAGTATATGTATCATCAACCCTTCCAATACTCCAGCGTTCTGCTTCCACAGTATTGCAGTTCTACGAAGTACCAAGAATTCTCTGAAAGATTGGTCCCCTTGCCAACTTCAGTGTACGCCTTCGACATGTTGACACACCTGTCACTCTCGTGACTCGCGAACGGGATGTTGCAGGTTTTCTTTTTGGTCTCGTGTGATAATTACGTCCTTACACACTGAGCCACCACCCTCCAACTCCTCTCCTTTCTACTCCCCTTCCCCCTTTCTCGCATGTGGTACAAAAAAAACAAAACCATACCGAGCAGTGAGGGGGGGGGGGGGGGGTGGGTGGGGGGGGCATGGCAAGCTTGGAGGCACATTCCGTTCCTTGCTGCCCTTTGGTCTGCAAGCTCATGAGTTGGCCAATTGCCAGTTCCCCTGATACATGAAGTCAGCAATGCACGCATGGCAAGACTTTGAACGGTTGCCAAAATGGTAGTATTTATAAGTGCAATAGGTCGGTCACACCCCGTGTGCTTGCTGCAATTTAGGGATCACCAGCCACACGCGGAACTGTAATTCAATGTAATTCACGACGACGATGGCAATAGACTATTGGCAACTGTAGACCCCGACACATTCTCCATAACAGGCCCCAAATTGGCCATAACCTGCATCTAAACATTTAAGATAGCACAGAATCGTGAAAAAACATCTCAATTTAGGACCCAACTCTTTGGCAAGGCAACTCTGCAGCAAAATCATAAACTAAGCCTCAGTTTTACCAAGGTTTACCAGATTTGTACATGACGGAAAACAGGCCACTTGACCCGACCTGTCTGTGCAGGTCTCCACCCACTTTTTTTGTATATACTCGCCCCCACACCCTTCTCTTTCCCCTCTCCCTCATGTGAAGATCTAGCTTCCTCTTGATTTCCCCACCGCGATCAGTCTCAGTGAGTTACAGAACAAACTCTCATCAAAATCAAGTGAGATTTTCCTCCAAAAAGGACAACAGCAACAGATTAATTTGTACAGTGCCTTTCACGTCGGGAGGACATCCCAAGGCGCTGGTCAATCAAGGATTTGGATCCGAGCTGGTGACTGGGAACAGGAGGGGTGGAGGGAAGGAAGGGTGGGGGTAGGAGGGTGACCAAAGGCAGGGTCGAAGAGAAGCATCTGGAGATGGGCCTTGAAGGAGGCAAAGGAGGGGGAAAGGCAAAGGCACTGTGGGATGGAGTTCCAAAGGGTGAGGGCAGAGATGCTGAAGTCCCGACTGCCGATGGTGGGGGCGGGCAGAGCGGGGGACATGGAGCAGGCTGGAGCCCGCTGAGCGGGGTGGTCGTTATTAGAGCGTTAGTATATTCAGCTTCACCTACAGGTCAGGCTCTCTCTAACGCTGGAGTGCGAATCCACATTCCCTCCCACCAGAGTGGCCACTGTCCATATACTGAGCCTTGGCGGTGAGTGTTGGCAGCGCCACTCGACTGTAGAGAGCGACACAGCTGAGCCTGACCTCTTCCCATCCGGCTGCACTACCCCCCCACCCCACCCCACCCATACACACACACTTCCAACCCCTCCCCCCACACCCCCCATAAACACACCTCTAACCCACCCCCCCAGTTCCACCCACACCTCCAACCCCTAACCTCCCACAGACCCACCCACACACACCTCCAACCCCTCCCCCCACCCATACACCTCCAAGCCCTCTCCCACCCCACACACACACCTCCAACCCCTCCCCACCAGACACCCACCAACAACCCCTCCCCCCCACACGCCCACCTCCAACCCTTCCCTCTACACACCCACCTCCAACCCATCCCCCCCACACACCCACCAACATAAAAAACACATGTGAGAGATTGCCTAAGGAGTCACTTGGCACACAACCCGCGCACATTGAACTTCGGCTATATAAGCATATGTGCTGGACAATGAGCTGGCTGATTACAGACAAAATAAGACACGTGCATCTCAGTTCGTTATATCCAGTGGGGGGTAGATTGTACAACGCCTGTGGTTTAGCGCTATGGAATTTCATTTCCATCCCAAAGGTTAGAGGGATTGCATGCAAATCCTTATCAGAGCAGGTTACAGAGCAGTCACGACACTGCAGTCATCGTCAAACCATCATCGATTGAGGTGCAATAAATTTTTCTTTGCACAATTTCTCCGCTTCTCTCCAGAACACATCTACACGCGCTAGGCGATGGGTCATGGCTGATGGCATCATCAGCGTACGAGCAATTTCCAGCACAGCTCAGCAATAAAGATTAACAGTGGCTGACGTTCTTAGTCCAGGGAGGTTGAGGCGAAATGTATTGCCGCCATTGCCAACAACCTCCTTCCTCTCTCATCTCTGAGATTCCCATGTGTAGGTGGGATGCGTGGAATTCTCAGTTGGGTTTGGAGACTCTTAAGCACGGCGCTGGGTTTCCGCGCATGTCAGACACCAAAAAAAGCTACAATCAGCTAATTCAAGATGAAATGTGGAACATTCCTGATCAGTACGGCTCAGTATCACAATTACCCAGCAAGTCAATTGCAAAAACCACACCATCACATGTTATGCGCTAAGCTGTTTTACCAATGGCAAACCGAGCAAGACAAGAGAATAAGGGAGGAGAGATGGGAATGAAATCAGTAAACATTGTCACGGATGGAAAACTCATCGTACCCGAGACAGAAGAGATTACGCGCCTTTTGGCATCGTGAGAATTTGTATTCTCCCGCACTGAAGTTGCCAATTTATAATGAAATGTTTGTGCAGCACAAACTATAAAATCTAGAGGTTTTACTTTATTTTTTCTCAGATGATAAACCGCAACCCCTCCCCCCCACACCTACCTACACACACATAACCTTTTATAATTCTCCTTGCATTGGATATAACGCCTTATCACATCCTTGAGATGGTTCAAAGTACTACACAGGATTTACTGTAATTGATTGTATATTTTATAGGCAAAACCCGACAGTGAATTGCGCACAGCAGTGCCCCACAAACAGTCATGGAATGAATGACCGAATTATTGGTATTATTTTTTAAGGGATTATTACCACCGGAAAGCGATCCGTCAATCGACTAACCAGGTTCCTACTTACTGCTAGGTAAACAGAGGCGTATAGGGCAAGGAAACTTACCTAAGGTTTCGCCCCACCCAGAAATCGAACCCAGTTTCAGTTCTTATATTAATTCCCCTTTAAAAGCTAACATGGACTCTGCCTCCAATACCATTCTAGAAAAGACATTCCAAATCCTATATAAATCCTCTGTGCAATTCCAAATCCTAATTAAACCCTCTGTGTAATTCCAAATCCTAAATAAACCATCTGGCGTCTCCCCTTTTGCTCCTTTCTTAATAACCTTAAAAGAATGCCCCTCTAATTGCCAACTCACCAACCAGTGGAAATAATTGCTCCGTTTTACCCAGGTAATTTTAAAAATCCTGGAACCTTCAACCTTCTACGTACTGGAGGATGTAGGCTGTGGGTTATCCCACTTTATTACAAGTTTGCTGACCTAGGTTCATTCCAGGAAACTTCCCCTCCCCCAACTCATTTTCCCCTCTCACGTGAAAACTTCTCATGTTCCAATGCAGCAATCAAAGGGGGTGGGGAAGGACATTGGAAAGAGGATAAACAGCAGAGTTCAATGACCCGCTAAAGCGCATGCAGAGTTCAATAACCTATAGAACTGTGTGGAGTGTAGGCGAAGGGACAGGTGCCTATAGTCATATTACAAAGTAGCCCCCTTTCGATCTGAAAAACACTCCACTGGAACAACAGAGGGGATGCAATGCACAATAGGCGGAAGCGTGGATGTCAATTCAACATCCACACTCTGGCTTCCTCTAAGTCAGGCTGGTCTGTCCGATCAATGAAAAAGATCCTGTGGGAGAGGAAGACAAAGTGAAGCGAGAAAAAAAAGAGAAGAGATCAGATCGGCAAGTCTCAAGCCATGCGTACCACCTTTAGGCACATAAGAGAGAACCCCTGGTGCCGCATCGATATCATCCCGTTCGACGTTTGCTTGCACTTGCAAGTGGTGTGGTTAAGCGCTCTGTTGTTGTTTGTGTGAATCCAGGGCCCTGGATTAGCAGGGAGTCTAATACTGGGTTTCATTTTGACGTCATTTTTATTGCAAATCAAAATGAATTATTCTACTAAATCAGAAACAACTTGCAATTTACCTACACAATTCCAGCCTTGCACAGATAATTTTGAGGTCACTTCCGCAATACCGCGCTTGTTCTCTCTCGGCTCCCTACCCTTCAAAAACAGTGATGTCAAGTGAAAGTCAAAACTAGGATGTTTGTTGCAAAGGCTTCTTTTGGGCTGTCTGCTGAGCATCTTTTAGATGGAAAATTAGTTTCTCTTTCTCTCAGTGTCCTGGTCAATGATTCCCCCAACAATCCACGGCTGCTTGTGGGGCATTGTAATAATAACAATAATAATTCTTGCAT